GGGACATTCATGTTACCTGGCCAGCGGCTAATTACGGTACACCAGTGTAATTATGTCGGATTACTCAGGGTAAATCATAAAGTAATTATCTACTTCTGTTGACAAAAAATCGCCGGAATTCGGAATGTGCAGTAGTCAGAATATACAGTGTTTTATTCTATATAAATCGATTCACCGCGGTATTTTTTCTCGGTTTGATACACGGTGCAAAATCTCTAATTTTCGGTTCGGTTCATTTTTGGACGGGGTCGTTATTCAGTCGGGTTTGGCATAAGGTAAAACACGTTACTCGGTATAAATAAGTATAGAAAACGTAAATTTTTGATGACTTATAGCTTGTAAAATAATTTTTGACAGTCAAATAATTTTAATCAATTTCTTCTAGTCAATTTGCAAATAAAATTCGTAAAATATGTGACTAGATTTAGAAAAAGAAAGCATAAAACAACATTGAATTTGTTTCCTTCTATCAAAATGTATCGTATCGAAAATAACCGAACCGAGACAAAATTATACAATACATATCGAACCGTGAAGGATGTGTATCTTTTCACCCCTATAAATTATAAAGAAATTTTTGGGAATAAAATATCAGGTCGGAAAGTCCAGTGTGCCGGATTGCACAGTTGTCGGATTGGACAGTGGGCACTGTACTACCTAAGTAGTCATGTACTAATACTACACAACCAACAGCTGAACAGTATGCTAATTATAATACTACCCAAGTATTCATGTACTGGTACAATACAACCAACGGCTTAACTGTATGTAATACTAAGTATAGTACTACCTAAGTAGTCATGTACTAATATTACACAACCAACAGCTTAATGTATTACTAACTTTATACATTATATTACTTATCGTATAATGAAATCTTATACTAACCATGTACTACAATGATGTGATATAATACAAGACTAGTACTAACTTAGAGGTTATTATAATACTAATCAATATATAATGCTAATGGATGTTTTTATGATGACCGGTTGTTAGAATGGAGCTTGTGTCTAATACTTGTGCTGAGATGGTATCTGTTGTTATACTAATCATGCTATTACCTGTACCAGGACTATTACCTGTAAAAGTACTCTTGTAGAGATAAAGCTTTACAGATTACCTCAACTTGTGCTATCTATTGTTGATGGTGCATATTATTTGAATGAATATTAAATTTTGTATATAACGGAACTTTGGTACCTTGAACACAATTATACATCGAATAATAGGAATATGGGAATACGTTAAGGTGATCTGGCAGTCCCAACCACTTTTTCTGTTTTTTAACCTTGTTATCTCGACTTTTTTCTAAATTTAGTCTCGGTCCCCAGTCAAGTTGAAGATAGCGAGGTTTGACTGTTTTTTTATGCAGGTAGTAATGTATTATCACATTCACCACTTATCAAATTTATTTATGGAGATAGTCTTTTTAAGAGGAGTACTAAAAAGAGGGAGAAAAAAAGAGAAGAATTACATGTTAACTTCCTGATGAGAGATACATCAAAATTAAGTGTAATTAGTCATTAAATTATAGCTAGGAAGTAGTAGTGGAATACTCAAGGCTAATTATGGAGCATTAAACATAGGAAAGAAAAGTTTCTTACTCTGGCTAAATGGTTATGATAATTAGTAAGATAGATCTGTATACTCAGTGATTCATTTTGAAAATGGTTATCATGGGTCCAAAGGACCCCTCTGAATGAAAATAATGAGTCCCATGCCAAAATCAGTGCGTCCAAAACCAAGGCCTTAGGGTACCGCATATTAAATACTACAGAGGAAATTCTGGTGAAATATAAATGGATATTGCATGAAAGTGCAAATGTTTTATTGTAGCTGTGAATGGCCTATACTTTGACTTTTGAATTGGAAGTAAGAATACATGATTTTGTGGCAAAAAAATAATATATTGTCAACTGTGCACCTTGTTTCTATTTTTAGATCGTAACTACGATCTTTGTCATAAAAAGCACAGAAGCAGATCAGTTGTTCTATTAAATAAAGTAAAGAAAGTTTTTTAGAAAATGGAAAATAGTCAGAAAGAAAAATGATCAAATTTTATACATGTATACGTCTTGGCTTCTTAGGAAAAAATTAAAATACATAGGTTAAATTACATCTTAAATACAAAGGTATAGCCTAGTTACAGTAGCCTAGTACACCTATACGCTTCAGAAATGTTCCACAGTAGACATAATCGAACTATGCTATCTCACTTCAAAATGTTTTCTGATAATTGCTTGTTATATGCAATTTAACAGTGAATTGTGAAATCTGACCTGTTGTTGGCAAACTTATACCTGTTATAATCACTCATGCATATCGCTTAGCACGTGGAAATGATGCAATCGGTCAAGTTTTGAATCAGATTATATGGAAACAATTTAAAATAATAAATGTCCTTCTATAAATTCATTGCGTCCATTGGGATGCACATTTATCGAAATAATGCGTCCTGGGCAAAATTTGTGCGTAATTTACGCAGGACGCACACCAAAATGAATCACTGATACTGAAAAAGGTGAAGATAACAGTGATGGATCTCAAAAAACCTACAAAACAGTACAAATCTGTGAACACTAAACAGGGCATACACCATGGACAACAAATTCCTGAAGTCTGATAATTAATATTTATTGGATTGGTCTTTATTCTACCTTGTCTACTTAAGTGATTATTAATCCTATTTTAGCACATTCAGCATGTTCAGGTAAAAATATAATAATAGAATAATAAAACTGAAAATTGAACGAAGCTATAGATGCAAATTTGAAGGTAATAATGATGCTCATTGCTACAAATTTTATTTTATATCTGAATATATCATGACTTGTATATGAAGAAATATTATGTTCCTATAGAAAACACAAATAAAAATACAAAGTTAAATGCACACAAAAAGGTGAATAATAAAGGACATGCTGAGATTCATCAATGAAAGTGCTGCTGGGCCATGTCTTGTGTGGGGAGACACGTTTACGTTGGATTAAATCAATAATCAGCAGCAGCCGTTTACTTGGTGATCAGTGGTAGACATGATCGTACATTTTGTACCACAACAACAGACTGATCAACTATCTGGTGTCACGTAATCATCGTAATCATAGGGGGATGGTAGCATCACATTACTGGGTCTAGGCATGAAGTTATTTTAATGAAGAAAAGTTCAGAAATTTATGTAGAGTTTAATGACTTGGGAGGGGACTTAATGAGATTGACTTTCTCCGAGTTAGTTTGTCCTATTTAAACATTTGTAAATAGAAGCAGTGTCAGTCATGAATGATGTCTTACGTCAGTTGTGATTTCATAAGTGGATAGATTCATTGTTTTGAGAGTAACCTTGATTTAAGCATGTATAAAAGAAGTAAGTATGACACAGATGACAGAAGATTGGTAATCACTGGATGCTGAGGGATAGGGGAGAGCAGGGCAGATATTACCTGTCAGATTATCACCTGACTGGGTATTGGGCAGATTTAATGTATCACCTATTTGGGTACAAGGGTATGGGGACAGATTTAATGTATCACCTCTCTAGGTATTGGGGGAGGGGAGCAGATTTAATGTATCACCTGTCTGGATACTAGGGGAGGGAGGCAGATTTAAGGTATTACCTGTCTTGCTAATAGGGACAGGGGTAGATTTAATGTATCACATGTCTGTGTACTGGGATTAGGAGGAGGGACAGATTTAATGTATCATCTGTCTGGGTACTAGGGGAGGGGGGCAGATTTAATGTATCATCTGTCTGGGTACTAGGGGAGGGGGGCAGATTTAAGGTATTACCTGTCTTGCTACTAGGGGACAGGGGTAGATTTAATGTATCACATGTCTGGGTACTGGGGAAGGAGAATGGACAGAATTAATGTATCACCTGTGAGAATGCTGTTTTTTTTTACCTGACTTAACTATCTTTGTTTGATTTACAGGTGGACAGACCCCGTTTTCAGCCTTTCCTCCCATGCAGGAAGGTAAGGAACCATTTCTGTAGAATGTAAACGTACATAATTTGATACAATTATGGTTATCTTTTCATACACATTTCTATTCCTTACAACAACCAAACAAAACAACTGAATAAGATTTTTATCTACTGATGAAATGTAAACAGAGCCTTTATTGAAAAATCTCTAAAGCAGTTGCTAACTGAAGTGGGAAGGGGAAAATGGTTGATGTGAGAATTGGGAAAGCAAGTGCAAGAAAGGGGGAATAAAGAAAAGAATGGGGGATGGAGAAGAGCAAAAAAAGGGGATGAGGATATTTATTAGAAAATTGATTTAATGATTAAGCCTCAGATGCAGAGTAGACCTACAATAGAAAGAAATCTTGACAGATTCTGGAAAAAGTATCAATTTAAGTTGTGAATATATTTTCAAGCAAATTTTACAAGCTTTCAGGTAGCTGAACAAAATATGGTACTTATCAAAATGTAGAAACTGAAAGCAAAAAAAATGTTTGTGAATTTATTGCTTTCAGATTCTGATGTTGAAATAAGTCCACTTAATGTAACTGAAGGTAACAATTTGCATCAGTCTGGGTAGTATTGTCAGATTTGTTGTCGGCCTACTGACGTCAGTACATGTGATCCCCTTTAAGTTGTCAATCTGTTTCCAGTAAAAATGTTGTTTCATGCCCTAAAAGATAATTTTGTATGTAGAGCAATTTGACACCCTTCCCCAAATCAACAAACAGGGATGTATTCATGTAGTAGAGAAGGGGGGATATACATCTTATTGTTTACTTATCTGTCTTGCATTTTTCAGTATAAATGTGATAATTGGTCATTTGTAAAGCTGAGTCACAGTGAGAATAGACCTCCAGTGGCCATGTTTTCCCAATTATGATCTTTCCTCTCACTGTTGTGTTGTTAATGTCTAATGAATTATATCACTGTTTTCTTTTTGTTTTGTTTTGTTTTGTTTTGTTTTGTTTTTTTTTCCAACTGATAAGGTGATATGTACATCTTATTTTACAGGCCAACCGTCCATTCCATTTTCAACATTTCCAACGGAAGGTAAATGCAATAACCATGAATAAGAAATCCTCAATTTATAATGGTCTATTGGTTTTTGTTTTACCTATTTTTAATTTCCAGTATTTAGTGCTGGGCAGTATAGATATTGAAGTGTTTAGTATGTTGTAAGATAATAGTCATTTGTATGTTTTTCCACAAACAGGTCAATCTTCAGGACTTCCATTCACTTCCTTCCCAACAGATGGTAAGTCATCTAACAAACTAAATCCCAGGAATTTTCTATTAATATTGGTTTCCTCATTGCTCTATGATTTTAAATCCTTTTATGTTTGATTTTCTGAAATTCTGTCCCAAATCTAGGCATGTGCTGTATGTTATATGATTTAATGTCTATTTTTAGGCCAAACTTCGATTCCGTTTTCGGCATTCCCACCAGTTCAGCCACCTGAGGGAGGATTTGCCTGTAAGTTATTTTTAAATAGCAAATATCATCTGAATTCTCTACAAACAGTTACTTCGTTTTTTGTTTTAGAGTAATCAAAAGTCCTGACAATTTATGATTTTGAAAAAAAAAAGTCATGCCATTGGATAACTTTTGATTGGCACATTCTGTTCAAGAGGATCATTTATATAATTAATTCAAACTACTCTGCACATTCAAGCAATATAATATACTCAAATTACTGTACATTACTTTATAAAACTTTACTTGACATATTTAAAGTTCCACCACCTCAGCCCCCTCCTGGACCCCCAGCAGGTGGACCCCCAGGACCTCCCGGTCCCCCAAGGCCAGCTGATTTTATATGTCCGCCCCGTCCTAACTATGGAACGGAGGGTAAACCTATCATGCTGCATGCCAATCACTTCCAAGTGCGTATTCCAAAGGGAGTAATACACCACTACGATATTTCCATTGTGCCTGATAAATGTCCAAGGAGGGTCAATAGGTCAGTGTCACCAAAGTAATAGCTACTGTAACGCAGTATTTTGTAGATATTATAATAGTGTCTGTGTTTATGAAACAGGTAACTGAATATCAAGCTCCAAAGGAATTCCAATTAGAATCTAATTTTTGGAAATGGGTATTCACATGTTTATGCTAAATAAAGAAATTTGGAACATGTTGAAGGATAAAACATGCATGTTTGATAATTCTGAGAAAATTTAAGTTTTCCTTTTTAGGTCCTTGTGTATAAATTGTTTATCTTTATTATTAATGAGCAATTTGGTCTTATGTGGTCTCTATATTATTTTGCAGAGAAATAATTGAAACAATGGTCACTGCATATAGTCAGAAAATCTTCTCAGGAATGAAACCGGTGTTTGATGGACGCAAAAATCTGTACAGCCGAGATCCTCTTCCGATTGGTCGAGACAAGGTCAGTGACAGGTCAATTCTTAATGGTTTAAAATTTAATATAACTTCATGTATGTAAACAAAAAGACAGATTTTATAAGGAATGTCTTAAACATGTTTCTGTGTATACTACTTAGAAATGTAAACTATTCTGCAGATAAGCATTTGTGTACATGTATTTTAAATGTACTGATGAAAGTCATATCTCTTACCTACATGCCTGATACAGTAAGCCCTGCATGTTACAAACACAGATATGTTGAATTCATGATAGAGAAACCAGCAATCTAATTGAATACAGTTAGTACATCTACATCAGAAAAATTATTCCTGTAATCATGGTTATTGTGAGAAACAAACAATGCAATCTAACACACTTGTACATTTCTGTCAAATTATTCCTGTAATGATGAGAAACTAGCAATCTTAGGACTTACAGCTATACATCTATGTTAGATTATACCTGTAATGATGATAGGACCTACAGTTGTACACCTAAGTCAAATTATACCTGTAATTATGGCTGCTGTATTTGACGTGCTTTGGTTCCTGTATTAGGTAGAACTCGAGGTCACCTTGCCCGGTGAAGGTAAAGACCGGGTGTTTAAGGTGGGCATCAAATGGGTTACCCAGGTGAGCCTTTATGCCCTTGAGGAGGCTCTAGAGGGGCGATCCCAACAGATTCCGTACGAGTCGATACAGGCTCTTGATGTCATAATGCGGCATCTGCCCAGCATGAAGTAAGTATAGTGGAGCATTGATCAGTGTCCCCCCCTGGTGTAGTGGGGAGTAGGTATAACTAACCCTGCCCCTCACTGGCATGCTGCACCCCAAAAGCTTAGGGGGTTTGAACGGTCAGTGAGGGAGTAGCTAATCGCTAGAGAAATCAAGCAGCAAATGGGAAGGATTTTATTGAAGGAATGTATGTCTAATAAAGAAACTGCCTACAGAATATGGTAATTGTGTGTATTCTTTGAAGTTCCTGCTTTGCTGCTTATTTGCCTGGTGATATCTTAGAATCAGTTGTCTGTCTGAGTGATAGTCGCCTAGCGATGGTCGCCGGTCAGGTGTAGCAAGCTCTCTCTCTATCCTGTCTCCCCTTCTCTCTGTAACACAGGTGGAGCTCGAGGTTACACTCCCGGGGGAGGGAAAAGACAGAGTTTTCAATATCACAATGAAATGGATGCAGCAGATCAGTTTGTTTGGCCTGGAGGAGGCTCTACAAGGCCACACCCGGGAAATTCCGCAGGACGCAATCACGGCCGTTGATATTATCATGCGTCACTTGCCTAGTATGACGTGAGTATCGTGGTCAGTTGGTTCTATCGTTAGACTGATCACTTTTACCCTTTTGATTTGCTCCCATTTCAACATGTTCAATATGCATCCATATGTATGATTGGTGAATTAAATAGGAAAATTTCAAATGTTACATGGTAATACTTGAGGACTCCAGGAGATAAAAAAAAAAATTCACGAGCCTGCTGTGTTGACTTACTTTTCTAGTTTTTCTGTGGGAATGTACAGAGATGTTTGGCATGTTGTAAAATAAAAATTAGAGTAGGGCATAAAAGCAGGAAGTTGAGAAAGTACGACAATTATTGCTTGAGAAACAAGTGGAAGTTTTTATTTTAAGAATTTTCTCCTTCTGTAGTTATATGAAAGAATAATTGGGAAGTGGGGGATCTGATTCTCTCTCTCTCTCTCTCTCCTTGATATACATGTATGCAGAAGAAGAGGATTAAGTTCTTAAACTCTATTTAAGTCTGTGTATAAAGGACTCATTAACAAACATGTACTAACTCCAGCACATATGTAGCATTTTGTAGAAAGCACACCACTGAAATGTAATTCTTGGGTATATTATTTTGTGGCATGAGTCACAATGTAACACTTGTAATCTTTAAATGTAATAATGTAATCAGTTGATAGCATGACTGTCAGTATCACATACAGGTGACATTGATATTCCTTATCTAGACAACAAGTAATATGCTTCAGCAATGTAAGTTATGACTAAGAATGTTACATGCTATGTAATTGTAGAAATCATGAATCTAAAATTAATAGCTGTAAAGTAAAGTGTATTATTTTTTCACATGCAGACTCTCAAAAGATCAGGATATTTTAAGTAGGTTTAAGTTTAGCTTAGTATAAGACCAGGGCTTAAAGTAGAATTAAATCTTTTGACATAAAGCAATGTCCTTATAGCAATCATAAGTGATGTAAGCTTGGGGATTATGTCTAATTGTTTAATATTACTGTTTCATTTCTAAACCAAATTTTTATCTAACTAGTTGCCTTTTTGATAGCTTTGTAAATTTTTGTAAGTAGGAGGTTGTACAGTTATTTAAAAATAAAAATTGCTTTTTAAGTGGACTTATTACTGATGGACATGTGTAATGTTATTTTAGTGAGTTCACCTTTTTAACTAGCCGCTAGATGTTATTAATAGGCGTTAATTGTAGGCTAGGCTTGTATTCTTAACTTTATTGTCAATGGTTCCAGTTATCACTTCAGCAGAATTCTTTTTGTAAGTCAGAACTCTCTTTGGCTTAATGGGCATATTCATCAGTATTTTATATCATGTATTACACATTTAAGATAAAAGTTATTACACATTTAAGATAAAAGTTAACAGAGTGTGTATTACATTTTCGACTGTCTTTGGAAAAGGAAATGATGCGCATTATAACCCATTTGACTACAAAAATTCAATGGTAATTCAGATTTCTCAAAAATATTATCCCTTTAAATACATGTATCTAAGAATTTATTTAGCAAAAATATATAGAAGTGTTAAGCTTGTCAAATGTGTGTTCTTGAGTTGTACAACTTGACTGATCTTTGACAGGTACACCCCTGTGGGACGTTCCTTCTTCTCTCCGCCAGAGGGGTATGACCACCCCCTGGGTGGTGGTAGGGAGGTGTGGTTTGGGTTCCACCAGAGCGTCAGACCCTCCCACTGGAAAATGATGCTGAACATTGATGGTAAAGGGGAATAACTGCTGTGTGTCAATAAAAAATGTGTAAAATTCTGACAAAGGGAAAATGAATTTCAGTAGGATTTGAGAGGAAAATAACTTGTATCATTTAAAACTTTAAACTATGATTAAAAATACTAGGGCTGGGACGATACAACTTTTTCTATATCGATACGTATCCCGATATTTGAGCCACGATACGATATGTATCACGATATGTTTAATTGGTTATAAATTCTTTTTTTATATTGAAATGAACAAAACATTTCTTCACAAATAAGAATAATTTATTCAAAGAAGTTGCATATCTGTTGTAAAACTTAATTATTTTGCACAAGTGGTCTTAATTATTATGTATTTCATATTTATATTTATATTAAGCATATTTATTTTATATATTAAACCCAAAATGTTAAGTAAACAAAGAAAAACACAAGTCAGAATTTTTTGGGCGATATGTCGATATTTCTTCATACGTATCGATATGCGTATCATCCTCACATTGAATCGATATTATCGATATCTCGATATATCGTCCCAGCCCTAAAAAATACTGCAGAAATCCTGACAAGGATAGGTAAATGATTTTTATGCCCCGCCATGAATATGGCCGGGGCATATAGTGTTTGTCATGTCCGTCTTCCGTCACACTTTGTGTTTAGCTCTGTTCAGAGCTCAGTTTCAAAGAAACTATCCAAGATATTTTTATCAAACTTCATATGCTGATAGATATTAATGAGAGCTATGCAACTGCATCAACATTTTTTGACCTTGACCTTTTCTTTTTTGACCTTGACCTCACTTTTCTTAAATTAGTGTTTAGCTCACTTTTAAAGATACCATTCAAGATAGTGTAATCAAACTTCATATGTTGATACATACTGATGTAAGCTATTCAACTGCATCAACATTTTTTGACCTTGACCTTTCTTTTGACCTTGACCTTTCTTTTGACCTTGACCTCACTTTTCTTAAATTAGTGTTTAGCTTAGTTTTAATGAAACCATTCAAGATATTTTTAACAAACTTCATATGCTGATACATAGTGATGAGAGCTATTCAACTGCATCAACATTTTTTGACCTTGGACTTTCCTTTGACCTTGACCTCACTTTTCTTAAATTAGTGTCAAACTTCATATGCTGTTACATACTGATGAGAGCTATTCAACTGCATCAATATTTTTTTACCTTTTCTTTGACCTTGACCTCGCTTTTCTTAAATTAGTGTTTAGCTCACTTTTAAAGAAACCATTCATAATATTTCTGTCAAACTTCATATGCTAATACATACTGATGTAACCTTTTCAACTGCATCAACAATTTTTGACCTTGACCTTTCCTTTGACCCTGACCTCACTTTACTTAAATTAGTGTCAAACTTCATATGCTGATACATACTGATGTAAGCTATTCAACTGCATCAATATTTTTTCACCTTGATCTTTCCTTTGACCTTGACCTCACTTTTCTCAATTTGTGTTAAAATGTTGCATTACTAATATACCCTTGGTGGGGCATTCATGTCCTATGGACATATTTCTAGTTTGTTTTTTTTTATTTTGACTATGGGAGAGCATTGTAAATAGGTTATTTGTGTAAATTAAGTATGTATTGTCATTGTTTCAGTATCTGCCACTGCCTTTTACAAAGCCCAGCCTGTGATAGAATTCATGTGTGAAGTGTTGGATATCAAAGACGTCAACGAACAGAAACGTCCCCTCACAGACTCTCAGAGAGTCAAATTTACAAAGGAAATCAGGGGTATGTGTTTTCAACAGTACACAGTCTCAGCATAAAAGAAATGTGTTGTAAAGACCTTAAAGTCTTAATCTATTGACAACATGTGTTTTCTCTCTGGAGATGTCTTACTTTTCGTAAGGGAATTATAAAGTAAATTTCTCTCTGAAATTTGATAGTTTGTCTAGTATTTTCTGAAACCCATTGAAGATTTAGCCAAACTTTTACAGGTCTTAAAGTTGAAATAACTCACTGTGGAACCATGAGGCGTAAATATCGTGTGTGTAACGTAACCAGACGGCCAGCCCAGACACAGTCGTAAGTATTCATAATATTGCAGTCATACATCCATCCTAGATACAGTTATGATACCAAGTCTATCACATTTTTACACCTCACCCATATGCCGTTTTAATATCAATCTCAGGTATACACACACAGTCCAGATATACATAGTAATATCACAGTTATACTCCCAGACAAGGCCTGTTATTACAATACTACCAATGAGGATTTTATGATGAGCTATTTAGTTTACTATCAGATGGTTTACAGTTGTTTGTACTATTATGGACTATTTTGTTTACTATCAGATGGTTTACAGTTGTTTGTACCATTATGGATTATTTTGTTTACTGTCAGATGGTTTACAGTTGTTTGTACCATTATGGACTATTTTGTTTACTATCAGATGGTTTACAGTTGTTTGTACTATTATGGACTATTTTGTTTACTATCAGATGGTTTACAGTTGTTTGTACTATTATGAACTGTTTTGTTTACTATCAGATGGTTTACAATTGTTTGTACTATTATGGACTATTTTGTTTACTATCAGATGGTTTACAGTTGTTTGTACTATTATGAACTGTTTTGTTTACTATCAGATGGTTTACAATTGTTTGTACTATTATGGACTATTTTGTTTACTATCAGATAGTTTACAATTGTTTTTACTATTATGGACTATTTTTACTATCAGATGGTTTACAGTTGTTTGTACTATTATGGACTATTTTGTTTACTATCAGATAGTTTACAATTGTTTTTACTATTATGGACTATTTTTACTATCAGATGGTTTACAGTTGTTTGTACTATTATGGACTATTTTGAATACTATCAGATGGTTTACAATTGTTTGTACTATTATGGACTATTTTGTTTACTATCAGATGGTTTACAATTGTTTGTACTATTATGGACTGTTTTGTTTACTATCAGATGGTTTACAGTTGTTTGTACCATTATGGACTATTTTGTTTACTATCAGATGGTTTACAATTGTTTGTACTATTATGGACTATTTTGTTTACTATCAGATGGTTTACAGTTGTTGGTACTATTATGAAGTTATTTAGTTTACTATCAGATGGTTTACAATTGTTATACCCCCTGCAAACGAAGTTTAGGGGGGGTATATTGGAATCAGCTTGTCCGTCTGTCTGTCCGTCTGTCTGTAGACGAGATTTTGTCCGGACCATTTCTTGGAAACTGTTGCAAGGATTTGTCTGAAAATTTGTACACTTATTCTTTGCCATATGAAGGTGTGCACCTGGTATTTTCATCATGATTGGATAATTTTTTTGCATTTTACAGGTTTTTTTTTTAATTTTATTATGTGGTTTTGTCTGGATCTGTTCCCAGAGACTATTGCATAGATTTGTATGAAAATTTGTACACTTATTATTTACCATATGAAGATGTGCCCCTGGTATTTTCAATATTATTTGATAATTTTTCTGCATTTTACAGGTGTTTTTTTTTTTTATTTTTATTGACTTAGTCATTTTGGGTTCATGTCTAAGTTTTGAGACATAGAATCTAGAACATCTGTACAAAAATGTGAACTACAGCTTAAAACTACTCATTAGAACTAAAAAAAAATCACAAAGTATTAAAACAGTTTTTACATTACACAGCAGATAGTGTAAATTATCCATTTGTCCCTTGGGAGTAATGAGTGGACATGCATCCAGTTAAAGATTAATTAATGAGTTCAGTGTGGGAAGCTGTTACTGGGCATCTCTGATCAAGCAGGTCTTATCTATATCTCCTGGGAATTGGGCAGAAAGAAATAAAGATCTCTGTTGTCTAAGTCTCTTAATTGTAATTTATGTCTGTCAAAATACATAGTTACTGGAAGCAGCCTTTTATTTTTAAAATGAGTTTGATATAAAGGTATTAAGATCAATTTGATTTTGTATAATTAATTATGATATTTTTTTTTCAACAATCAATTTGCAGAATGTGATATCTCACAAAGATGACAGATAGTTGCAAACTATTTTTTTCAATGTAATAAAAAACACTGTACAGGTGACTCTCGATGGCTCGAACTCCGATCTCGAGAAGTGAACCTCTGGTCCCGTTTTTTCCCTCTATATAACTAAGCAAACTTACTTCCGATCTCTCGAACTTCCAATCTCTCGAAGTTCTCTATCTCTTGAACCAAGACCTGGGTCCCGTTACACACATTTTATTGTTTTTTACTCTCTATCTCTCGAAGTTTTGATTGCGTGTCTGTACACGCCAATCAAGCGAAAAATTAATGCAGCTTGGACTTACCTGGATAACAGTGAACGCCTGGGGTTGGCATGAAGGTGTTAATTGGGTGTTTACATAGATGACACTATACCTGTGAACATGCGAGTGTTGATATAAATAATTAATTGGTAAATTAGAAAGGAATTGCTTCACAACTTATTTTGACTTGACAGCGAGACGAAAATTTTTAGAAAATAATTTAAGAGGCGTGTCAATAATTTTCCATAGATTATGAAGTTTTATTAGAGTGTACATAATCCCAGTATGACAAACATTGCACAAGAAATCCTATCTCAAGAATTAGATACCGATTTAATACAAGAAATCTGGTAAAAGACCCGGTCAAGCCCGGGGGGTAGCCACACCGACGATTGCTATTCAGGTTTTATGTAATCATGAAATGAGAATAAATAAATATTGAAGCTTAAAGATATCGTTTTATTTATTCAAAATACGATCATTGTTGTTGAAATCAAGTGAATTGCCTGTAAAATACGCATGAAAACGTGTAATGATAATATCAACATATACTTCCGGTATTTATAATAGTAGAACAATGATGATCGGAACTGAAAATTCCGGATTTTATTCACTTTCTATCTCGAGAACCCCTCGATCTCTCGAACTTTTCTTGCGGTCCCTTGAACTTCGAGAGATCGAGAGTCACCTGTAATTACTAGTATTGATGTTTTATTAGGCTGCACCTTAGTTTCATTCATTTAACAAAAATATAATGAGTAATTAAATTTTCACTCTAAATGTTTAAGCAAATTGTGAACACCTCTCACATCTAGAAAACATCAGTGATTTGGTACCTTCTCTGAAAAACCCAGCGGGGGGTATTTGTCCCTTTTGGACAGTTCTAGTTTGTACTATTATGGACTATTTTGTTTACTATCAGATAGTTTACAATTGTTTGTACTATTATGGACTATTTTTACTATCAGATGGTTTACAGTTGTTTGTACTATTATGGACTATTTTGTTTACTATCAGATGGTTTACAATTGTTTGTACTTTTATGGACTATTTTGTTTACTATCAGATGGTTTACAGTTGTTTGTACTATTATGGACTATTTTGTTTACTATCAGATGGTTTACAGTTGTTTGTACTATTATGGACTATTTTGTTTACTATCAGATGGTTTACAGTTGTTTGTACCATTATGGACTATTTTGTTTACTATCAGATGGTTTACAATTGTTTGTACTATTATGGACTATTTTGTTTACTATCAGATGGTTTACAGTTGTTTGTACTATTATGGACTATTTTGTTTACTATCAGATGGTTTACAGTTGTTTGTACTATTATGGACTATTTTGTTTACTGTCAGATGGTTTACAGTTGTTTGTACTATTATGGACTATTTTGTTTACTATCAGATGGTTTATAGTTGTTGGTACTATAATGAAGTTATTTAGTTTACTATCAGATGGTTTACAATTGTTTGTACTATTATGGACTATTTTGTTTACTATCAGATGGTTTACAGTTGTTTGTACTATTATGGACTATTTTGAATACTATCAGATGGTTTACAGTTGTTTGTACTATTATGGACTATTTTGTTTACTATCAGATGGTTTACAGTTGTTTGTACTATTATGGACTATTTTGTTTACTATCAGATGGTTTACAGTTGTTTGTACTATTATGGACTATTTTGTTTACTATCAGATGGTTTACAGTTGTTTGTACTATTATGGACTATTTTGTTTACTATCAGATGGTTTACAATTGTTTGTACCTGACAGGTTCCCTCTACAGCTGGACTCGGGACAGACTGTGGAATGTACAGTAGCCAGATATTTCCTGGAGAGATACAAAATGAAACTTCAGTAAGTCATATTCATCTGTTCTCTGTGTCCAAGATTTGATGTATAATCATTCAAGAATACTGGGTACTTCACTGTTAAAGGATATTTTTTTCTTATTTTAAGGATAGCAAATGGAGACTTACTGGTTGAGAATTTTTGTTTTTGGATGTACCATACTTATAAATGACTTGGCATTCATTTTCATTGTACGGATTTGATTGATCTGTTGTAAGTGTAGAGCATTTAATGCCACTATGTTGTCTAAATAGGAAAAGGTTTAATCTACATGTTTTATTATAGATACCCTCATTTGCCTTGTCTACAAGTGGGCCAGGAGCAGAAACACACTTATCTCCCCTTGGAGGTCAGTATTTATTGCACAGTGATTTAGATATATGCAGATACATCATTAAGTTTTAAGCAAAATAAATAAAAGTTTTCTTACAAAATGTTATATATTTCTGATCTATAACTCTCACTAGCCAGACATACCACTGTTGTTTTGTTTACCTGGTCTTGTTACCTGTTACAGGTGTGTAATGTGGTGGGAGGACAGAGATGCATTAAGAAGTTGACAGATATGCAGACATCCACCATGATCAAGGTTTCTCAAATAAGTGACCCCCCACGTACAGCAGACTACATGTCTGTACAGAGTGCTCCCCTTGTTTAGAGACTTTTTTACTCATATGGTGGACTTGTCTGTTACATTTCCACATTTCTCCTGTTTACGTTTTGTATCTTTTTTATCTCTTTCTTTGCTTCTCTGGGAGAAGTGCAGAGATAGGAATGTCACTGGGAATTTCTGTTTCCCCTTAATCTTTCAGTTTTGTAATGCTGTTGAGATTTTGGAATTTTACATGTATTTTGTTAGATAGACTTAAAACAGTTTTATTTCATGGATATTGAAGTTATTTGGTAAATATCAAAGGTTGGATTTTGAAATGTTTATATCTGTTCATACATGTAGGTAGTATTGTGATCTTTTCCAGAAATGGATTTATGTCTGTACAAGCTGCTGTTCATGTTTATCTTATAGAATATCACTAGTGATTTAGGTCTGGAGAAGTTATACACTTCTTTTAGATAGATGGTTTTAAAGGTGTAATATACTGTAGGATTTTGATTTAGAATAATTGATGGTAGTGATGGTTCTGAGGTCTGTATAAGTAATTTTGTGTGGCAGTAGGCTGATGACATTGGTTCATAGTACACTGTATTTGTGAGTGAGCCAATTCTGTACCTGAATGAAGTCAGATGACCAATTCTTGCAACTGTCCCTGGTAATATACACAACAGGATTAGTCTAATTATCGCAGTCTAAATTTCTATTTAACCAATAGTCTTCATTTATATGTAAGAAGGAAACCAGTCTAGTTTGTGACACACAGATAGATTAAGTTTAGTGGCTGTGTATGTAGTAGGGTTTCTATGTGGTTCAGCATTGAAGTTTGTTTGCTCTGTGTGAGTGAGTAGGGATCATTGAAGTGGGTTGCTCTGAGTGAGTGAGTAGGGGATCATGGAAGTCGGTTGCTCTGAGTGAGTAAGTAGGGGATCATTGAAGTTTGGTTGCTCTGAGTGAGTAAGTAGGGGATCATTGATGTCAAACCATGAGATTCAATGTATTTGCTGTATGTAGGAGATACTTACTTGAGCTGCTCTTGTTCATTATATGGAGGAATTTGGTAAAATCTAGAGGAGTTTGGCCAGATAATGATGGTGATAGATTTTAGAATCTAAAGTGGTTTTGCTAGATGATGTTGTATTTTGGATTTTTTAATGTCTTTTTAAGGGATTGAAGTGGCTAGATTAGATCATTTATTCTGTGTGACTAAAATGAACAGTTTCAGTCATTTGATGTGTGTGGCTTTCATGCTTTCTGCTAGTGAAAATCAGTTTTAAGTGCAGAGCATTTGTCTTCAGTCAGTTTCATTTGTGCTGGTTTGCTGAGCTTTGAGTGATGTTTCTTTAGAGTTACATGTATAAAGACATTCAAGAAATCAGCAAAAATGTTTGGTTTGTGTTTTTACAAAAGCATTAAGGAAATCTTAATAGAAACAATACTTAAGTCAGAGAAAAATCAGAAATAAAATCTTTAAAATTTGTCTGCTGTATTTGACTTAAATTTTAGTCAAATTTTTCAGTTTGTTATCCATTTCTTGTACATTTATCTATAATTGAGAGTGAAATACATAAGATTTTTACATGTATTTTTCTTTGATTACAGGAATATTGTTCAAAGAAATTGAATAAATTAACATGCATCTATTGATTAAATAGGGCAGGGATTATCACGGATGTTTTGTTTTATAGGCAACGGCCAGATCTGCCCCCGACAGAGAGAGGGAAATCAACAATCTCGTATGTATCTGTCTCTATTTGTATTGTTCTACCATAGCAAGTGCTCAGTTTTATAAGTTTCATACAAATGTCTCTCTATCATTCTACCATAGCAGGTGCTCAATTTGTTATACATTTACATGTATATACACACAATGGCTTTATTAAGAAGCAAAAGTTGGCAGATATTCTATTAGTGACTGCACTAGGCATTAAGTCACATTGGACAGTTGATAAATGTACATGTAGTTCTCAATGCGTATCAAGGAACATTTGATGGGGGGATATTTGATCGAATAAAATAACTGTGATTTGGGATAAAGGTCTCACTCTGCCAAAGGAAAGATTCAAAAATAAGTTGGATAAATAAAATCTTTTCCAATTTGGAGGTTATTTAAAGAAAGTAAATTGTGTATTGGATGAGATAGGTATTTGTTTGATATACAGGAAAACTTCAATGTTATAACATTTGTGGGGACATCAGAAAATGTGGAAATAATGGGGGGGGGGGGGGGGGGGGGGGTTAATATACATGTATTCTGTCTCGGTAATTGCACATACATGTATTTAAAGAAACATTGAACATTTTGATAGTTTCATTATATGTAACACTGAATACTTAGTAATGTTTTGAACCATTTAGAATTTTAAATTAGTGTCTCACTAGAAATGGCTGTCCCTGTGTATGACATTGGTTCTCTGGGTTCTGTTGTCTATTACCCCTGTGTGTAAACACTGATACTCTTCTTGGTCATTTACTGATGGTTATCCCTGTATATGACATTGGTTCTCTGGGTTCTGTTGTCTATTACCCCTGTGTGAAAACACTGATACTCTTGTTGGTCATTTACTGACTGTAGGTACAAAAAGCAGACTTTAACAAGGATCCATACCTACAGACTTTTGGTATAAATGTCTCGTATCAAATGACAGATGTGAGGGGGCGGGTCTTACCCCCACCACGGATAGAATATGGAGGAAGGGTAGGGCAGAATGTCTTTATCCCTGCTCTGCTGGAATGTTATGCCATGGCTACCATGCTGTCTGTCTGTTTGTTTGGGTCTTTCAACTGTTATTGCAAAAGCAGTAGAATTCTGACTTGATCTGTGCACAGTATACAAAATTCATTTTTCACAATGTGTGCTATTTTGACAATTGAAAATAGAACACATATGTATACATGTGTATGTTGAATGATCTGGCCAGATTCTACTGACGCTTTCATGTGTGTGTGTGTGTAACATATGAGTGTGATGAGGCTGTTACCCATTCTGTGCTTCCCTGCTGTTTAGGTTCGGAAAGCCAACTTCAATGCTGACCCATTTCTACAAACGTTTGGAATTAACATCAACCCAATGATGTGTGACGTTCAAGGGCGTGTGCTTCATCCTCCCAAAATCCTCTACGGAGGACGGGTAAGATATATTTATACTAATTCAGATTTCCTTCAGTTGAGTTGATTGTAAAATGATAGAAAAGCAACAAATCCTCAGTCATTTTTGGATTTATATCCTAGTTGCAGTTGAAAATTTTATTTAATTGGTCATTGACTTTCACACAGAATTGATTTGAATTCTTTATTTTTAAAATGCATCATGGACTGAAATCTGTAGAATTCATTGCTTTTGCATGATAACAAGCAGTCCCAGCTTTGAAAAAGAATGAAAATTTGCAGTGAAAATTTTTAAAAGCATGTTTTCAATATTAAAAATAATATCAAAGAAAATCTCTCTTTACAATGCTAGAATGAGATGATACTGTATGGTGATGGACTTGGTGTTAAGTCAGGTGAATCATTTGAAATTAATGTAACTTGGTAGAAGCTGAATGTTCTATGATCTCCTAGAATCATTTTCAATCGGCCTAACTTGACACCTGTGAAGTGCCACCTGTACAGTATCATCTGTATGTTAATCTCCACAGTTGACCTATTAACACAGACATTTCAGACCAAGGCCCAGGCAGTGCCCAACCAGGGGGTATGGGACATGAGAGGGAAGCAGTTCTACTCGGGAACAGAAATCCGCGTCTGGGCTATTGCTTGTTTCGCACCACAACGAACTGTCAGAGAAGATGCATTAAGGTAAACTGTCTCAGAAAGCTTGTAAGAAACTACTTATATGTGTACACTGTAGTCCAAAGATTTGAATTTTTCTTAAATTAATACAGTCCATTTACCAGTATTTACTCTTTAACATGTACGAGGGGCATTTGAAAAGTTCTGAGAACTATTTGATAAATTATCGACCGTTTAGCGGAAATTATTGAGTTTGATATCATTGGAAAGATCAGAAAAATACACACATATTGTGACGTCACTTTGTAATTTTTATGACGTAATAACTCGGAAAACGACGTCAGAATCCCATTTGTTTCACATACTGACCATATAAATGATGTAACGAGACAAAATTTCAGTGAATTAAAATTTTAAAGTCAACTTTTGCTCATTACTCGGATGCATGCTAACCAGACACAAATGCAAGTTGAGAGAATGTTTACATAGACTACAGTCTATCATATGGTGTTTTATTTAGAAGATCCTATAGTTCTGAGGGGGTTTATGCATGTGTCAAACATCGCATGTTATTATCGAATCTCGCTCAAAATATTGCGTAAAAAAAACCTAGCTGTGAGAAAATGATTAAGTGGAAAATCAAAGGAGAATTGTGGACGGTGTTACAAATTTTGCAGGCATTAATTCGTCAGGTGTTTTAACCAATTCTGTGGAAACGATTAAATCTCAAGAGACGTTAAGTTAAGAGGACCTTATATTTTCTAATAAAAACCAAAATGGCGCCGGCGTAGTTCTAACCCCACCGTAACTCAATATATTTGAATATTTTAACTCATGGAAAATAAATAAGATTGTATATGGCAATGTAACTCAGATTCATTTTTTTGTGCCGAAAGTCAAAAGCAGTAGTGAGTTTTGGAGAGCCAAAGTTGAAATAATATGAAAAAAATACGCACAGAAACAGGTCCTTGGGTGGACTTTTGTACGTTTTATTCCTAAACGGTAAGAGTCCTGTTACTCATGATACATTTGTGGAAAACTGCATTGATATACTTCAGTTTTATACAGAACATGTTTTGTTTAATACAATAGAGAGCTATATAATAGACCGAAAGTCCAGCTGTATTATATAAATAAAAATCTTAAATGAATGCCTATGATAGCATAAACAGTACATAAACAGTGCTTATAAACCAACCATAAAATGAAATTTGGAATTGCTGATAAACAGCACCATTCTCTCAGTCTTGCTCTACCTCCATACAAATTTTATTTGAAATATCTTTTCAAAGAAGCCTTTGACAGCACTTTTCTGATCTTCTCATGTGGACAAAAACGTGACTTCTCCAGTATGTTAAACAAATGAGATTCTGATGTCATTTTCGGAGTTATTACGTCATAAAAATAAGAAAGTGACATCAAAATAAGTGCAAAATTTTCAGCTCTTTTCAATGGTATCAAATTTATTAATTCCATAAAACGGTTAATATTTTATCCAGGGCTCTCACACCACTTTTTGGGACTGGGGCCGAGGCCATAGAAATTGGGAAAATTAGCGACCTTTTGGGTAATTTTGAGAAAATCATAACTAGACATTATGCATCAAATTCATGATATATTGAGTTTCTGTTGGTAGTTTTCAACTAAATTTCTCTTTTGTTATGCAGAGAAATATGAATTACAAGTTTAGTAACTATATAGTATATACATGATATATCTTACTAAATGTTCTTTAATATTTGAGGAAGTGACAGATTGGGAAAATTAACACATTCAATTGGGAGAAAAGGTGCCTTTTTTGAATTGGGAATGGGGCCTTTGAACGGCCCCAAATGTAGAGAAACGAGAGCCCTGTTATCAAACAGTTCTCAGAACTTTTCAAATGCCCCTCGTAAGAACTGTTGTGGAATGTTCTGTAACTAAAAGTTTTTTTCCACTGAGACTCCGTAATGTACAATAATGCAGATGACCTTTTGATTATTTTTATAGGAACTTTACCCAGCAGTTACAGAGGATCTCTAATGACGCTGGCATGCCAATCCTGGGCCAGCCTTGCTTCTGTAAATATGCCACAGGACCTGACCAGGTGGAGCCAATGTTCAGATATCTCAAAAACACATACCAGGGCCTCCAGCTGATTGTGGTGGTCCTGCCGGGGAAGACCCCTGTGTATGGTGAGCTTCAGTCTCCTCATCACTCTGTTGTCTTTTTTCTCTGCATAGGGAAAACAATGTTTTGTTTTAATTTGTTATCCTAATGTGTTTCAGCTGAGGTGAAGCGGGTTGGTGATATTTTATTTGGATTAGCCACACAATGTGTTCAGGCCAAAAATGTGAACAAAACTACTCCACAAACCCTGTCCAACCTCTGCCTAAAAATCAATGTCAAACTTGGTGGAATCAACAACATCCTGCTGCCCAGTATACGGTAGGTCATCAGACATTATACACAGGGAACTTGCTGATAGGTCATAATCACACATAACACACACAGGGAACTTACTGATAGGTCATAATCAGACATAACACACAGGGAACTTACTGATGGGTCATAATCAGACATAACACACACAGGGAACTTACTGATAGGCCATAATCACACATGACACACACAGGGAACTTACTGATAGGACGTAACTGACATAACACACAAGGAACTTACTGATAGGTCATAATCACACAGAGAACTTACTGATAAGTCATAATCACACATAACACACACAGGGAACTTACTGATAGGCCATAATCACACATAACACACACAGGGAACTTACTGATAGGCCATAATCACACATAACTCACAGGGAACTTACTGATAGATCATTATCACACATAACACACGCAGGGAACTTACTGATAAGTCATAATCAGACATAACACACAGGGAAATTACTGATAGGTCATAATTTCACTTAACACACACAGGGAACTTACTGATAGGTCATAATCACATGTAACACACAGAGAACTTACTGATAGGTCATAATCACACATTACACACAAGGAACTTACTGATAGGTCATAATCACACATAGCACACACAGGGAACTTACTGATAGGCCATAATCACACATAACTCACAGGAAACTTACTGATAGGTCATAAGTACACATAACACATGGGGAAATTACTGATAGGTCATAATCAGAAATAACACATACAGGGATCTTACTGATTTGTCATAATCACGCATAACTCAGAGGGAACTTACTGATAGGTCATAATCACACATAGCACACACAGGGAACTTACTGATAGGCCACAATCACACATAACACACACAGGGAACTTACTGATAGGCCATAATCACACATAACTCACAGGGAACTTACTGATAGGTCATAATCAGACATAACACACACAGGGAACTTACTGATAGGTCATAATCACACATGACACACACAGGGAACTTATTGATAGGACGTTACTGACATAACACACAAGGAACTTACTGATAGGTCAAAATCACACAGAGAACTTACTGATAAGTCATAATCACATATTACACACACAGGGAACTTACTGATAGGCCATAATCACACATAACTCACAGGGAACTTACTGATAGGTCATAATCAGACATAACACACACAGGGAACTTACTGATAGGCCATAATCACACATAACTCACAAGGAACTTACTGATAGGTCATAATCAGACATAACACACACAGGGAACTTACTGATAGGCCATAATCACACATAACTCACAAGGAACTTACTGATGGGTCATAATCAGACATAACACACACAGGGAACTTACTGATAGGTCATAATCACACATAACTCAGAGGGAACTTACTTATAGGTCATAATCACACATAACACACAGGGAACTTACTGATAGGTCATAATCACACATAACACACACAGGGAACTTGCTAGTAGGTCATAACCACACATAACACACAAGGAACTTACTGATAGGTCATAATCACACATAACACACAGGGAACTTACTGATAGGTCATAATCACACATAACACACACAGGGAACTTGCTAGTAGGTCATAACCACACATAACAGACAAGGAACTTACTGATAGGTCATAATCACACATAACACACACAGGGAACTTACTGATAGATCATAATCACACATAACACACAGGGAACTTACTGATAGGTCATAAGTACACATAACAGACACGGAACTTAGGCAAATGATTTCATCTGTAATAGCATTGCCTTTTAACTTTGTAAAAATCTGTTTAGTTTTAAGAAATTTTTGTATAATTCTTCAATGAAAATGTTTAATAGATGTTTAATAGATGTTTAAAATATGTATCTGAGAAATATTCTAAGAACAGTAAATGTATTTAAAAGGACTAGTAACTATAACTGAAATTAAGTAACATGTAGATGTATTATTGTTGAACTGCCTTTGTGTGAGTGCATTCTTTAGACAAGTTAATTTTCTAGCCCCAAGGTTTTTCGAGAACCTGTAATTTTTCTGGGTGCTAATGTGACCCACCCACCAGCTGGTGATAAAACTAAACCTTCCATTGCCGCCGTAAGTCAATATCACCTTGTAGTCATGGCAACAGCCCTCTATTATTTCTGTCCACTCTCCCTCAAACCTCATTCACTGGGGAAAAAAATCACAGAAAGCTCACTGTTTAATGAAACAGTTTGCAGAAAATTGTTATACAAATTATTAGATGATGAAAGAAATTATGGTGGAAAATTGTGAATGTCATAGCCTAAAAGCTCAGTACAAGAGGACCTTTAAATGTCTTTTGGTTAACTTATGTAGACATTGCTTGAATAAGCATATTCAGACAACAGGTTTTTGAGAGAGGGGTTCTAGCTGTATATATATTTAGCATGATCAGCATGTGACATCACCATGGGAACCAGACAAACATGATCCATTTAACCATCTCATTAGATGTGTCAATTTGATGAAAAAAGAATTACAGTGCAGAATATTCTAAAATGAGATGGTCAAATTTTATAATGAAAAATTTCAACCCCGTTGTAGAAATACATTCTTTGTAGTATCACATATTTGAAGAAAAGTAATGATCCAAAAAAAAAAATAGACCCGTATTGAAATGTTTGTTTTACTCAGTGTCTGGTCCTGTTTATATGGAGCAGTTGCATGCTGCTCATTTCTGGCTTGGGCATGCCTACTGTCGCAGTGTAGTCTGCACGTTCTATCACACTCCCTTATTCTTTACAGTCCGGCCATCTTTAGAGAACCTGTCATTTTCCTCGGGGCCGACGTGACCCACCCTCCAGCAGGAGATGCCAGTAAACCCTCCATAGCTGCAGTAAGTTGATTTCACTTTACTGCACATTACACAAAGTTTATAGCTGTCCATTACTGCTTAGTACAGGTAGTGGATCAGAAATGTACACACAGCACCAGATATATCAAACTATAGAAGAGATGGCTTATTGTAACATTGGAATAATATTGTAAGCACATCAGTTAACAAGTTGTAGTGATATACACACTAAAGATGTTGGGGCTGTTTGAGTCATGTCATGTCTGAATACAATAGTGAGAGAATCTTTTTGGATACTTATACATAGGAAAATATATATGTAAATTTCCATCTTCATCATCAGATAGGTAGTACATAGAAAGTACATATTGATATCATTGTAGGCACATCTGTAAATAGGACACAATATATAGTTGAACCTTAAATTGTTAATTTCATCTTTGTCTGCAAGTTGGGATCAGTGATGTAAATTTTGAAATGTTGGTCAAAATACATGATTTTCAAACAATGTAAATTTCCTTCTCTCCCTCAAAATATATTTTTGAAAATGTATGTTGAGTGAATACAGGTATGTGATTTTTATGGCGTCGAGCTCTTGGAGCTCGAACTTCATCTAGCGATCAGCCAGGTGAAATCGCCACCGGATGTACGCGACCGAATGTGTCAGTGGATGCATCCGCAATAGAAAAAAGCAATAGCTATAAACCAATTTCTTTGAAAACGCTCACAATGAATAATGGCTTGAAAATAAAATTGCATCAATTGTATCTATAATTAGTTCTTTTACAAAACAAGGATATTATGTTTTATTTTCACACAAGAAAAACATGATGGTTATTGCGGATGAATTTCTACAGAAAGGGTGCGTCGAATGAAAATGAATAACATTTTTGGAATGATAACCATGTAACACAAACAACCCAACAGGTGGTAAAATAATTACAAAATTACATAAACACAAATACTACAAGACGGAAAAGATAGAATTTCTAAATCTTAGCTTTACTTTTACAATCTTCTAACCAACTTTATCCTAAAAACCAATGATGTTGACCAGTATTACTGTATTTCTCCATTTCCTCCAATATACCATGCCCTACCGTAACTCAATCGTACTTGTAACAGAGCAGAGTCATGGTTGTAGTTTAGATGCAATCACTAAAACAACGCTTTGACATTGGCAATTAGAAAGATTAATATATGAATTCATGAAATCCTTCATAGTTCTTCAATATTGACTGAAAAGAAATTATTTTGATATTTAGCATGAACATGTTCGACTGTCTGGTCAATTTGAACTCTGCTCCATTCGGACCATGACATAAGGCCCCAGACTGTAATGTGCCATTTTGTTTAAAACTATTTTTTTTATTATTATGATGTCACCTGAGTCACTCACTTGACTTATTGCGATCTTCAGATCTTTTGATATTGTTTTTCTTGTTCGACACCATTGAAGCCTTTCAGGCTTTTGATTTAAAAATATTACTTGAAAACTAAATTAAATATTCTTAGCATATAATAGATAGGGAGTATTGGGAATAGAATATAGAATACAGAATATAGTGGCAGATACTTTTGATTATGGATATATAATTATCTCACCAACACGCCATTGTTCAACTCAGTCGCCAGCATATTGTCAGTCCTCTGAATGAGTGAAATCTTTTTGAATAGCACTCCCATTGAAAAAAAAAAAAATTACAATTGATCAATCCATTCAGATCTACCCTCATTTTACGCTCCAGTGTTTATCATAAACTGGAAGTATGAGTTCGTAAATTCGAAATCTCTATCCCGATACAGATATGAAATCAGAAAGATAAAAAAGCCATTTTTTCTCAATTTTATTATTTTTTCTAAAAATTCCAAAAAAAAAAAAAAAAAAATGAGCGACGGGTTTGTAAACTTAAAAATAAAAAAAAAGCTGGCCTTAGGACTTAACACTGCAGAAGATCAGTACTGTCTCTAATTTAGGACGTGGTGCAATTTTTAAGGTTTTATAGGCAATTCCAATGTTTTCATATGTTTGTGTAAATTTTGCTTCATGTTCACATGGCTGAAAAAACAGTGGGGGTAAATTTATTCTATATTTACACAGTAAAAGTTATTTTCCACTCAGTCTTATTAGATGATAATTTTGCACTAGGAGTTAAAATACCCATGTGCAAATCATGTTTATCACCTGTTTACATGTGCCATAGTTCACCTGGGTGCTAAATCTGCAAATATATGTAAAAATTTGCTCAATGTCTGTAAATGGGCCCGTATGAATGAAGCTTTATATCTTTAGCAGAAAGTCTTTCTTATTTAAGTGTTGTCCACCTATCAGACTTTCTCCAATAAGTTATTTCTTTAAGCTTTTTTGCCTGTGTTGTGGTTACACATTTTTATGGAATATAGATGAACAAATATTTGCTTTTGATCCAGAACTTGTTTGATTAGTTTATCTGTGAAACCTGTTTTAGAATTATTTCACATTCTGCACCTGATACAATATATTATGCTTTATATATCAGTGCATGTCCATTGTAGATATATAAATGTGCCTTTATGTTAAAGTGCTTGGCCAATAAAAACAAAATGGTTTTCTTGCTAGCTTTACAAACTTATCATCCCCAGTTTTTGATGTGTGATTTTAGTAGAATCATTAAAAAAGGCTATAGTTATTTAGTATAAACAGGAAATCTCAGTTATGATAAAGTAATTTGACAGAAATCTACCTTGAAATGATTTTTTAATGCAGTCAATGTGTAAATCATTTGATAATTGATAGAATTTTAAATCTAGATAAGAGTAATCTCCTCTCTTCCTGTGGTCCTCCTGTTTTAACCTGATTGTGATGATGTGTTTGTCTAGGTGGTCGGCAGCATGGATGCCCATCCCAGTAGATACTCCTCCACAGTCCGAGTTCAGCAGCACCGACAAGAGATCATACAAGAGTTGTCTTCCATGGTGAGAGAACTCCTGATCCACTTCTACAAGGCCACCCGCTTCAAACCCACACGTATCATCTTCTACAGAGACGGAGTCAGTGAGGGACAATTCCAGCAGGTAAAGAAAACAGATTTAAGGTTAAAGGTAAAGAAGACAGATTAAAGGTCACAGGTAAAGAAAACAGATTAAAGGTCACAGGAAATAAGTAAAAACTGATTAAAGGTCACAGGTAAAGAAAACAGATTAAAGGTCACAAGTAAAGAAAACAGATTAAAGGTTGCAGGTAAATAAGTCAAAACCGATTAAAGGTCATGGGTAAATAAGTCAAAACAGATTAAAGGTCATGGGTAAATAAAACAGACTAAAGGTCACAGGTAAATAAAACAAATTTGAGGTCACAGGTAAAGAAAACCGATTAAAGGTCACAAGTAATGTATACACTAGCATCAGTATGTAAAGATTTTACATTATATACTGTCTGTATACAGGTATTAGATTACTAGTTACATGAGTATGTACTTAGAGCAGAAGTAAGCATTAATGTTCTTCAGAGCATTAACTCGCTATCCGTAAAATAACATATTTGCTTTCTTATATAAAGAAGACATACATGTGGATTGAAGGAAAAAAGGATGATCTATTAAATAAATCCATCTTGTTGGAGATCAGTAATAAAAAAAAGTAATGAAAAATAAAATCTCCACCATCCTCTCAGTTTTGTGTGTCTTACAGGTCTTGCAGCATGAGCTTCGAGCTCTACGAGAAGCTTGTATGAAGCTGGAGTTAGGATATCAGCCAGGAATCACATTCATCGTCGTACAGAAGCGCCATCACACACGGTTGTTCTGTGCAGATCGCAAGGACCAGATTGGTCGTAGTGGCAATATCCCAGCAGGTACTACGGTAGATGTGGGAATCACTCATCCAACAGAATTTGACTTCTACCTATGTAGTCATGCTGGAATACAGGTATAACCCTCAGTCATAAGGCAGTGGGGTTGATATAACATGATATGGAATTTACTATAGATACTATTTTATTTATTGTATATTTAAATATTTAATTAGTGAGTTCACTAAAGTCATTTAAGTACATAAATGTACTTGTATATTTAATGCATGTATATGACTTTTTTCTTTTTAATCTACTAGAGCCAATTTTAGGTCATTTTAAAACTTACTAAGTGAAAAAATTTTTTTAGTACATAAATTGTATTAAATGTATTTTTCATAAATTCATGTATATTTTAATAAAATCAAGTGAATTAACTTTAAACTTTTTAAACACATTATTTTTGGTTTGATTTTTGCACACCTGTATGATAATAAATGGGTTTTCTGAGCAGTCTTTGGATACGGGGTAATATCACCCATATTTCACAGTGTGTTTACTACTTAGTACATGAAAAGACTATCTTTTTTCATCCAGCAAGCTCAGAATACTAATATGCTTTCTTCCATTACCGCTATATGTTTCAAAACTCCCATGCAGTGATTTGTATCACTGGTTTTTGAATGTTTCATGCAGAAATAATGTACAGATTGTTTAAAGAATTTAAGTAGAGTAAAGGGAGACAAAAGTTCCATAGAGTGTGCTCGTTATATAATTAGTTACTAGTTTTTAACCAACTCTTGTTCCTTAACTTAGTTGTCACTAGACGTTCAGCATGCCTCTTGTCTATTGACAATTAAAAAGACTAAAGAACTCGAGTTGGAGAAAAACCGGTAACAAACTCATACAGGTAAAAGAATCTAAATTTATGATGTTTTAAATTAAATAATCTTTCTAAAGAGGGGAAGTGGTAGCCACTATCAAGTTTAAATATTGTTTTGCAGTAACTGCTCTGTGGTGATTGCTGAGCTAATGTCTCAATTGTTCATTAAAATGTAGTTCTATGAAAAAAGACTTTGGTGTATTACAGGGTACAAGTCGCCCTTCCCATTACCATGTATTGTGGGACGACAACAGATTTAATGCTGATGAGCTTCAGACCCTGACTTACCAGCTGTGTCACACGTACGTGCGCTGTACCCGCAGTGTCTCCATACCAGCCCCAGCTTATTATGCACATCTTGTCGCATTTCGTGCACGTTATCACTTGGTGGAAAAAGAACATGACAGGTAAAAAAGATCAGATACTTAGTGTATTTTTTATTAGCATTTTTTGGTGTTGTTCAGTATAATAGATGATTAATTCACTGTAACTGTGGAAATACTTGCGCGAAACTTTACCATGTTTACAGTTAAGATTCATGTCTCAAGTCCTCTTGGTGTCTGTTAGTTTAAAGTTGGATAGAAAATTCATTGCAATCAGCTACTGCAAATCCAAATACAATGAATTAGGAGTCATATAGATTTAAATTATTGCAGAGTTCTTAAAAGGTTTCAGATAAGCTTCTAGAATAAAGTTATGAATATTCATTAAGGACATACGCAAGGTAGTTTGAACTTTATTGTCTTTTTTCCTGGAATTGAAGAGTTCCAATACATGAAGGATCTGTGTGCTACTCTTTTAATGTCTTTATATGGTGCTGGACACTTCTTTTAAAGGAAATTGGATGAAAATAAAACATCTAGAATATATGTTTAGTATTTTTTGTATATTTTTTTTTATTATACAAGAATTTTCATCAATTCATACCTACCGCTATTCAAAACACCTGATAATGCATGCTGATTTTTTGTCTACGAACATCTGATGGTACTATGATTTTAAATTAAGAATGTCTTGAAAAATTATCAGTAGGTAAGGTATGTTGTGTTGTCCTTAAAACTGAATCGTAGTTAAGCTGTTCCCCTTGGACATTTCTATCTTTTTCCTCTTAGTGCAATGATTTAAGGACTATCCCCCAACCTTTAATGATGAGTTTTGACACTTGTGTTTTCTGTTGTTGATTTGGCTTGAAATTACCCGTTTACAACTTCTACAGGACAGGTGGCCACCTGCAGGTTAATAATAGAAGATTGCATCATATTGAACTTAGAAATCACATGACTTACCTGTGTAAATAAATCAACATAATCATGGAAAGTCCAGTTGAATTTCAGAATGGCAAACTGTTACATATGATGTGTTCTTGAATGAAACCTCAGTTAATATGCAATATTTTTTTCATTCAGTGAAGTGTTGCATGAATTCATGTCATAATCTGCATATTTGATAAAAGTTTTAAAAACTATAATGAATGAATTTCGTAGACTACCATAGAATAAGCATGATAAGTCTTGATGAAATGTCAACATGAAGTTCAGTATACTGGCCAGTTACCATCTCTTTACCCGTTTTTTTTTTTTTTTTATAAATTATCAAAATACCTCCAATTTTGCACATTTTAATGCATGTTAAGATCTAGAAAATGATTATTTTAATACATGTGTATTTGACAGTTCAAGCAAACAAGCATGATCAGAAATCATGTTATATCACTGACAACAGTCTGAAAATGAATGGCAGGATTGACATTCAATTTATGAATTTCTAAGGAATTAAACCACTGAATTGACCATCAATAATGTCATTACCCACAATGCATTGATAAAGCTGATCACATGTTGAAAGCATCTCAATTTTCATTTACACCTGCTTTTACCTTGATTATTTCTTTACAAAAATTTCCAATCTGAATTGAAAAATTTATCATGAATCCATTAATGTGCAATACATAGCATGAATGAAATATTTCGAGGGTTGATAGCCCATTTTTTTATTGCACTAAAGTTCAGACAGGTTAACATTGTAAGGGTACAGCAGGTTAACACTGTAAGGATACAGCCGGTGTGTCAAATTGTTGCATTAAAGGGGAAAAAAGTTTTTAAAATTTTTCATCAAGTGCCAAGTGGTCAACTTCAGGGACTACATGTATTAAAACTGTGGATTTGTTTTTACAGCGGAGAAGGAAGTCGACACTCTGACAACAGTGAGGATAGAACGCCCACAGCCATGGCCCGGGCCGTCACCGTTCACCCAGACACAACAAAGGTTATGTACTTCGCCTAATCTGGGAGATGAATCAACCCAATACCATGACCTTGACCTGAACATTGACTTGTGTCCAGGAAGAGGGAGACAATTTGTGTAACCTTCCCTAAGGGAGGAAGACTTCCCAGATTTTTTGGAGGAAGTTTAATATTTAGGGCAGGTAGTGATTGGACTGGATTTTTGTTAGGATGACTATGGGGTATTAACTGTATTTATTTTATAGAATTGTGCTTTTATTTTTTGTTTTTACAAGAAACCATTCTGACTTGGTAGAGCATACATTCCACTGTTTCTATGATTTTTTTTAAAAATGATGCATCTTTGACATGATATTGCAGCTTTTTGTTGCCAGCAAAGATGCATGTGGTGCTTAAAGGCTCAAAATAGTTATTTCTGCCATAATTGAGGAACTCTCAGTCAGACAAACTGTGTTGACGAAAGATGCCATTTCATACAAAGCATATCTACATTTTAGTCATTCCATGTATTTTGGGTGTAATCCCATTTTGGCACAATACTCCCCCTCCACATTAGCTTAGCATATCATTTGTTGTAATAGCTCAGTGTTTATTTATGTTTTAACTTGCCATAGTTTATTTTATAGTCCCACCAAAGGAGAGGTCCACCAATATAGTAAACAAAACTTACCACCTACCAAGGGAGTTAACCCAGTCCTTTTTTTATTTGCTATTACTCTATTTCTTTTTTCGTAGTCCCGTTGCGTATAGGTGACCTATTTATTTCTCTGTAACGTTGTTTTATTATGAGTCTGTTTTTTACGACTGGGGGAGATTCCAGTCAAATAAAACCCCCTGTGACCTTATGACCCTGCATAATTAGTCTAGTCATGTTGTGTAATGAGCATATCATGTCGTCATGGTGATGTTGTATCCATATCATTGAGCCTTCCAGACGGGGACGCAGCAGCATTCTACTTATCGATGACGACCCGCCTTGCCTGTGATATGCCCCAGTGATCATCACGGTTGGCTGGTTTCTCGGTGTTGTGTTTCATCCCTTTCAGTCCCACAGTTAACAGCAGGCGTGGTAGGTGCTATTTATAAGTATTCTGAAGTGCCCTCTCTCCTGTTTTTGACAATCTCCAATATATCTCTGCTGATCCTTCTCCCCCACAAACTGTGTGCAATAATCAGGGCTCCCAAGCACAATAATTATCAAAAGTCACTGAACTGTGGCGAATTGTTGTAAATATGAAGTGCTCAACATACTCTGTATACTTAGGAAGATTTTTATTGTAAAACTGATTTTAAAACATTTTGAAGAGTAAGACCTGAATTGTATTCTATGCAACTCCCACTGGAAGATAACTGAGCCAAATGTTTGACCCCTTTTAATGCATTGGGGATGTTTACAGATATGCGCAAGTAGGGACCCATGCAATAAAATTCCATGATTACTATTTTAGCAGAACACATTTAAGCCTTTTATATGTATTATTTTTTAATTTTGAAGAAATTAATGTTGTCCAATCTAATTAGGTAATAAACCACTTCAGGAAGTACAGTATGCTAGTAAATATTTTAATTTGTGCAGTAAATGTACGTTCTGATGCCAAGATGTTCTACATTGTGTGGAGTGGATCTCAAAATTTTTATCACTTATCATTGTCCAATATCGTGCCATGCCAGTAACCATAATCTGAAATACCACTAGTTATTATAATATCCACTGACCCTAACAATCTCGAGTTTCAGAAGAGGAGGTAAGGTCAATAGTATTTTTGTAGAAAAGAGGCAGAGATTGACTTGTATTTATATGAATGCTTCACTAGTCCAAGTAAGATATATTTGTTGAGAGATTACGCTATTAATAGTCCGGGGAGATTTGTCTTTTTTTAACTCGTGATGTACCAAAGTTGGCATCGTATCCTAGTGATATTTATCTGCAGCATATTTATGTATGACCTCTTATTGCCCTCATTAATCATGGTTGTTGAAGAGAGAGGACGAAAGCACATTTATTTATTTTTGTTTCTGCAATAACCTTAAACAGAGGAAATTCAGGTCTGTCCTCTCTCGCTTTATAAGGAATGTAGTGGTGAGCATGCTCAGATCTCGTGTGTGTGTGTGTACACCGTTACCTTGATATATGGAGCACTGGGCAGCCAGTGCCACCTTGACATAACCTTGGTGTGCAGTTGACCAATCAAAATCGAGAGTGGCTCACTACAACAGGGATAGAGTTGGTGAATATATTTATAATTCTATGTTTTGTGTGCAGCACTGCCCACAGATCATGTTTTCATTGTTCATTATATGTACAGATCCACATGTTAATTTTTGTGTTGTTTTGATAGTTATTAACTTGCATCAAATTAGTTGTGTTTGATCTTATTGTGCTCCAATATGTACTAAGCAACCCCCCCCCCCCCCCCCAGCTTTATTTAGCTCAGTGAAAGTACATCACTGTGTAAGAATGTGATAGTTTTTGAATAAGTCCTTAACTCCCCAGATTGTGTTGACACTGGTCCATTGACTAGAGCTGAAATGACAGCATTTAATTATTCAACCAGCTTGGATATAGACATGTAAGAGATATAAGATCATGTAAGGGCACACAACTGTTGATTCTCTTTTATCTTTTTTTTTTTTCAGAAATGTATTTTATAATGTCCTTCTGGTCTAAATTTTGTTATTATGCAATCATCGAGGGCTGTGGTTATATTATATATATTATATATTGTGAATGTTTTTGATTTTATTATGATGCCCCATGGTGCTAGGAGAAAAGGTCATATAAAGTTGTGCTTTAATCATCGATTTAACACATCTATCCTGAACAAAACTCTCTGGTCTCTCGTGGTCAGAAATCACAAACTAATGAACTACAAGATTGTACCCTGTGTCACAAATCGAACTTTAATTCTGTTCTTTTTTTCTGATGTTGTAATTTATCTTGTATATCAGAGTTATTGTAAAAATGTTTAAAACCAGATAAGAAGACATTTTTGGGGTAAAAGGTGAGGTATCTGCAATCTTAAGGTCTGATAAAAACAATATATCATATATGCATTGCCTTTTGCCATGCACATTTTTTTTATTATTATATAATTATTATTTTTGGTCATTTATTTATTGATTTTGTAAAGTGTTGGTTATTCTCCAGTTATTTCTGTATTCCAAAGAAGTAGGTCAGTTTTCTTCTGGGATGGACTTCTAATTGAATTAAAAAAGAGAAAACTTTATATCAAACAGAAAATACAATGTAATGTCAATTCTTTTAGATCTTTAGGAAGCCCAGATCTGCCGAAATATGAAATAATTTTTTTTAACTATCAAGTAAAGAAATCTCTGACAGTTGTATTTAAGTCTTCTACCAAAAGCCAAACCAAAAGTGAATTGCCTCTCCTATGCAAGATCTCGGTACAAACAGTATTGTAACAGTCCCTGATATCTTACCAGACAGACGGGCATTTAGTGTATGAACTTAGCAATATCAGTGGATCTGGGAAGAATTAATAATCCATGTTTATGTTTCAATGTGTTAACAGTTGTGATGGTCAAACGGTCATGTGATCTGAGTTTTTTGAGCAGGGTGATAAATTTATATACACTATAAAAAAATCTTTTTGTCAAAATGGGTAATTTGATCTTTTGAGAACAAAGCACACCATTCCTGTTCTTTTAAAGGGCTTCTATCATTTTCTTATCTTAAATTTCCATTTTTAAGAATATGACAATGTAGAGTTTAACAGGGTATATTTTACTGATCAAAGATTGAATTGGGAATTAAAAGTCCAAAGGTTCCTTTTTTAATTTCATTTTTTTCTATTTTTAAGTTTATATACAAACCCACAATTTAACAACGAACCTTTGATTAAAGATGAAAACGGGGAGAATTGAACAGAGTGGTAGAAGTCCATCGGTTACAAAGAATTTGATCAAAATAAAGTAGTGATTAAGAACAAAAGGTTCACAATGACTTTTAACCAGTGTTTTATGTGTTATGTGCTATGGATGAATTAAGTTAGCAATATTTCAGATGAGCAATAGGCACAGTGCAGATTATGGTAGAAATCTATACTTGATTAACTTTGCCACTGATGTTTGCTTTTAAAATTCTATAGTATTTTAAAAATGAATAAATCATTGTATATCTTGATTTTACCCCTGTGTTACAGTTGTTTTTTGTTTGAATTATTCTGCTATTATACTGGCATCAGTTAACCTTTCTTTCTGAAAGTGATGTATACAGGAACCCATGGGGTTATGGTATTGTTAATAAATTTCTTGGAGGATGGGGCCACTATGGGTAATCGAAGTTTAACAAAGGAATGCATAGGAAAAAATCTGAGAAATTCTTCTCAAGAAGATGGGAGCATCCTCAGGTAGATTCAAGTTTGTTCAATTCATGACCCCAGGGTAGGGTGGGGGCACTATGGACCATCAAAGTTTTACATAGGAATACATAGGCAGAAATTTTTAAAATTCTTCTCCTAAAAAAGGCTAAGTCATGATTAGTTATATTTATATGGAAGTATTATCAGGCAGTGTAGATTCAAGTTTGTTCAAATCATGAACCCCCCCCCCCCCCCATGATTTTAGGGGAAGGGTGGGTCATGTTGAGTGATCAAAGTTTTACATAGGAAATTTCTTTTTCTGGGGAACAGCAATGCCAAGATTAGTCATATTTATATGAAAGCATCTGCAGGTAGTGTAAATTATATTTTGTTGAAATTAAAACCCCGGGCGTAGGATGGGGCCACAATGGGCAATCAAAATTAAACATAAGAATATATAGGAAAAATCTTTTAATGAAAGCCATGATTAGTCATATTCATTTGGAAGCATCTTCAGGTAGTGTAAATATCGTGATTCAAGTTATTACAAATCATGACGAGTGGGAGGGGCTACAATATTTTATCTCGACTTTACATAGAAATATGAATAATCAGGGCATGTTTGTCTATTGTTCAGCAATTGTTATAAAGAACGAGGGCGCCTTTGATTGGCGTTCGGCAGGAATCTGGGCGCACTTGAAAAGTGAAATTTTCATTGATCCGTCACATGAAATTCTAGCATTCTTTTTATGTACAGGTATCGGGTTCCGGTGAAATAGGAAAAGGAAATATTTTCCTGATATTTATGCTCTAAGAAGGGAGGGCATATTGCTTTGCTGCTGTCTGTTAGTCCACCAACAGTTTTCCGTTCATTTTCTTTGCAGAGGTTGCACATACTGAAATGAAATTTGGTATATAGATTTATCATAAAATATATAGGTCAAGTTCTTTTTTGGGTACGATTTTTGACAGTTATGCCCCTTGGACTTTGAAAAATTCCAATTATTTGCAGTTTCCGTTCATTTCTTCGCAGAGGTTACACATGCTGAAATGCTATACAAAGGTACGTAAAGATGTGCTAGACCTAGCCTTACACAGAATTTAAAAAAAAAAAAAAAAGTTGAAATGCTGTGGTTCCACGAAGACAGTTAAGGTTATCTGAAGAAGGTTGGATCCTGCTATCAAAAGTCTTAAGAATTTTTTGTCAAGTATATTTTTATTATCTACACAAACAGCTTGATTAAAAATCAAAACAAAAAGTGGGGGTCAGTACGCTTCTTTTGGTGCAACGGTGCATTTAATATGACCTTTTTGCACTGAAATTGCATCTTCAACATAAATTGCTTCTTCGAAGTGTTTCCTCCAATATTTTTTATCCAAATAAATCATGGGACCAAATATAGTCTTATTCTATCTTGAAAAGACACATTAAAAATTGGGACAAAGAAAAAGTTTCAAATTAATTCGCATAATCAACTATTTGACCTTTCTGCACTCACAAAATGTCATTTTTCTGGCATTAAAAGATTGACAAACAATAAAATTTACTGAATTTAAGAAGAATGACCAAAATTATCATATATATATATTCAGCAAAAAAATTAAAAGTGGAGGTTCATAATAGTTTATTTAATAAAACATTTCAGGACCAGCATAAAACATTTCACTGCACAAAATATTAGTAACTCTGTGTGCAGCCTGTATGGAATAAGATATGTTTGTGAAACACTGATGCCCTCGTATGGCAGCTTATGGCGAAGGTTAAAGTTCTCAAATGCAAGTCAAACTCCAGGTCAAAAGTTGGTACCCAAAGAAAGGTCTTGCCTCGAAGAATATACCTGTGAAATATGAAAGCCTTAACACCAACCGTTAAAAAGTTATGGCAAAGGTTTTAACTTTTTCAAAAGTAAGTAAAACATCAAGGTCAAGGTCAAATGGTGCCCAAGGGAAGGTCTTGCCACAAGTGATACATATGTACGTGAAATATGAAAGCCTTAGAACCAAATGTTCAAGTGTTATGGCCAAGCTTAGTTTTTTGTAGTAATTCTAACTCCAAGGTCAAGGTCAGTGGGCCAAAATTGTTGGTATCCAAAGGAAGGTCTTGTCACAAGGAATACACATATGAAGTATGAAAGCCCTGAACAAGGTTAAAGTTTTTCAAAAGTATGTCAAACTCAAAGGTCAAGGTCAAAGGGTCAAAATTGTTGATAACCAAAGGAAGGTCTTGTCACAAGGAATACACAGGTGAAGAATGAAAGCCCAAGCACCAACTGTTCATAAGCTATGGCTAAGGTTACAGTTTTTCAAAAGAAGGCCAACCTCCAAAGTCAAAGGTCCAAATTATTGGTATCCATAACAAGGTCTTGTCACAAGGAATACGCATGTGAAAAATGAAAGCCCTAGCACCAACTGTTCAAAAGTTATGGCCAAGGTTAACTTTTTTTTTCAAAAATAGGTCAAACTCCAAAGGCAAGTTTAATGGTCAAGGTGTTGGTATCCGAAGAAAGGTCTTGTCACAAGGTATACACATGTAAAGTTTGAAAGCCCTAGCACCAACTATTCAAAAGTTATGGCCAATGTTAAAGTCTGATAAAATTTAGCAAATGAGGGTCAAACTCCAAGGTCAAATTTGATGGTACCCAAAGAAAGGTCTTGTCACAAGGAATACACATGTGAAATATGAAAGCCATAGTTCCCACCAATCAAAAGTTATGGGCAAGGTTAAAGTTTTTGCGGACAAACAGACAGCTAGACAGACGGACGGACAGGGCAAAAACTGTATGCCCCCGAATCTTCGATTACGGGGGCATAAAAATAGGAATACAAACTTGACAGTACTGTACATACTTTATGCTTTTATATGGAATTTAATGTGAGTTTTTGATTGAATATGTTTTTGGCGGACTATAAATGGGCAAAAAATCTGACATACCAAAGATATTATGAGAATTTTTTTCCAAGAGAACCACAGTTCTGTAGCTAAGTTTAACTTGCATTGTAGAAACCAAATCTAATGTAAGAACTAAAATATGATGCAGAATTTATGATAGTGGCTTCATGTTAGAGATCGGCATCTCTGAGCAAGATAGAGCTTAGATGAGCAGAGATCGATAGAGCTCAGACAAGCAGGCATCGATAGACCTCAGATGAGCAGGCATCGATAGAGTTCAGATGAGCAGGCATCGATAGACCTCAGATGAGCAGGCATCGATAGACCTCAGATGAGCAAGCATCGATAGAGTTCTGATGAGCAAGCATCGATAGATCTCAGAGGAGCATGCATCGAAAGAGTTCAGAGGAGCATGCATCAATAGACCTCAGATGAGCAGGCATCGATAGACCTCAGATGAACAGGCATATTAGGAGCCAAATTCATAACTTCAATTTGAACTGCTGAGCAGAAGTGAGCCTTTGACTTTTTCACATTTGATAACTTATGATTATGTATTCGATTTAATTTATACGATTTATTTTTAAAAGATAGTAAATAAAGAATCTTTGGGCAAATCATTTTTTACAAGGTCCTGAACAGTATCTCATGATCAGAAAGTCGACCGTTAACGTGTCTAGTCAGTAAAACAGCCAAGTGTGAAACAGATGTAAGCACACTGTGATGTCTTTTATTCCGAGTCAGTCGCCCGCGTGGCGCAGTGGTTAGAGTGTTTGCTCTAGGTTAGAGCGTCTGCTCCAGAGTCGTGGAGTAAGCAGCTAATCCTTACGTCGCGGGTTCGAATCCACTGCGGGGCGTGGAGACCGGTCCTTCGGATGAGACCATAAAAACCGAGGTACCGTGTCGCAGTAGGTGTTGGCACGAAAAAGTCCCTCACTGCTCAATGACCCTACGTGTCGAGTACAGGTATAAATTTGCAGCCCTCCACCGGCAAGTGGTGGCGTCTCCATCTGAGTGAAAAATTCTCGAGAGGGACGTTAAACAACAAAACAATCAAACAAACAATTATTTCGACCTCACTTGAATGTATATCGAGTCGACATAGAATGAAAATCAATATCGTTAATTGACAAAGCTTATACTCTATAAATGAAACAAAATACAAAAATATTGAAACGAAAGTCGCCGCAAGAAGTTTTCTTATCATATAAATTTTTTTTGAATTTAAAAAAAAAAACCAGGTCGGCTAATCAAAAAGCACAATTATTTATAGTCATATCGTAATCCCGACAATTTTCGAGTTTTATTGAAAATCAGACCAAAACTATAAGAGTAGAATTTTGAAGGGGGGGGGGGAGTTTTGCCAGTCGGAGGGACGTACACTTCACTCTCGCATAGATCTTCTGTTCTTTCACCACTACCAGTAGACAGTAAGTTGTTTGAAACATCCTATGGCATTTCTATGGTGACCGGATGGGCCATTTGCAAAAGCTCAAAAGCGAGTTCAGAAAAAACACGCCATCGCGCTAACACACAATTTAACACACCATCACACTAACACAATTATACAAAACACGTCATCGCGCTTATACACAACACGCTGTCGCGCTAACACGCTTTCAAAAAACACGCTGTTGTGCTAACACAACTTTACAAAACACACCGTCGCGCTAACGCAACTTTACACAACACGCTGTCACACAACTCTCTAACACAACTTTGTGATAGCGCCACGGCGAGTTGTGTGTTAGCGCGACGGCGTGTTGTTCAATGATGTGTTAGCGCGATGGCGTGTTGTGTGTTAGCGTGACGGCGTGTTGTGTGTTAGCGCGACGGCGTGTTTAACAAGAGTAATGCTACAGACGGCTATAATATCGGCCACTCTTAGCGTTGATACAGGTTACTGCAATTTTAACAGGAGGCCCATGTGCCACAAAGCTCACCTGAGTTACTTTAGCTTCTGTTCTTCAGAAGATTTTTAAAGATCTTTATATTGTCTTGAAAAATTGTGATTCCATAATATGGCCCCATCCTAATTTTAAAGGGGTCTCTGAATCCACACACAATGGGAATGCTTCATTATCAATATGACATACATGGCCTTGCAGTTATATGGAGAAGAAAATTCTATTCTAAACAAGCATTATGTAAAACTTGATCCAGAGTTTGGCCAACTCATTCCCAGGGTCCATAATAAAAAAAAATCCCTACAGTATCGGAATGTTTACAAATTGATGATTCGATCTTTTGTGACTCTTCAGAAGACTAAAACATCTAAGTTCCATACGAAACCGTATCCCCTTTTGTGACCTCACCCTACCTCCAGGGGCCATATGAGGTTACAGTTTAGACTCTACGCTACCTCAGGAAGCCTTCACATAAGTTTCTTCTTTTCTGATCCTTTGGTTCTTGATAAGATATTTTTCTATACATGTAAATTTCAATGTTAAAATTTGTCCCTTATAGTGGCCACACCCTAACCCCTGGGTCCCTGATTTGAACAATTTACAATCTTCATTATGTCTAGAAAGTGTTCACATGTTTTATTATTTCTAGTCTAGTAGTTCTTGGAAAGAGGATTTTAAAAAGATTTTCCTATATATTCCATCAATGTTTGAACTTTGATCCTTTATTGTGGCCCAACTTATCCCCAGGGTCTATGACTATAACAATTTACAATATACATTATGTCTGGAAACTTTCACATAAGTTTCATCTTTGCTAGTCCAGTGGTTTTTTGAGAAGAAAAAAATAAAGTTTTTTCTCGTACATTTAAATGTATAACTTTAATTTCTTATAGTGGCCCTCCCTTCCCCAGGGGTCTTGGTTTGATAGTATGAACAATAAAGAATCTGCACTTCCTCACTAAGTTTCCACTCAATTTTCACCTTTTCTGGCCCAGTGTCCTTGAGAAGAAATTTTTAAAAAGATTTTTATGCCCCCGTAATCGAAGATTCGAGGATATATAGTTTTTGCCCTGTCCGTCCGTCTGTCTGACTAGCTGTTTGTCTGTCTGTCTGTTTGTCTGCAAAATCTTAACATTGCCCATAAGTTTTGATTGGTTGGAGCTATGACTTTCATATTTCACATGTGTATTCATTGTGAAAAGACCTTGCTTTGGGTACCATCATATTTGACCTTTGAGTTTGACCCAGTTTTGCAAAACATAAACCAACTTTAACCTTGGCAATAACTTGTGAACAATTGATGCTAGGGCATTCATTCTTCACATGTGCAATCCTTGTGACAAGACCTTTCTTTTAATACCAACAACTTTGACTCTTTGACCTTGACCTAGGATTTTGACCTAATTTTGAAAAACTTTAACCTTGGCCATAACTTTTGAACAATTGGCGCTACGGCTTTCATACTTCACATGAGTAATTGTGACAATACCTTCCACTGAATACCAACAACTTTGACCCTTTTACCTTGACGTTTGACCTACTTTTGCAAAACTTTAATCTTGGTCATAACTTTTGAACAGTTGGTGCTTAGGCTTTCATACTTCAAATGTGTATTCCCTGTGACAGGACCTTTCTTTGGATACCAAAAATTAAAGCCCATTGACCTTGGGCTTGGAGTTTGACCTACTTTTGGAAAACTTTAACCTTGGCCATAACTTTTGAATAGTTGGTGCTAAGACTTTCATACTTAACATACGTAATCCTTGTGACAAGCCCTTAATTTGGATGCCAACAACTTTGACCCTTTGACCTTGGAATTTTGACCTACTTTTGAAAAACTTAAACCTTGGCCATAACTTTTGAACAGTTGGTGCTATGGTTTTCATATTTCACATGTGTATTTCTTGTGAGAAGGCCTTTCCTTTGGGTACCATTAGTTTTGACAATTTGACCTTGATGTATGACTTACTTTTGAAAAACTTTAACCTTTTCCATATCTATTCAATGATTGCTGCTAGGGCTTTCATATTTCACAGGTATATTCCTTGTGACAAGACCTTACTTTGGGTACCAACATATTTGATTGGCATTTGAGAAAGTTTTACCTTCACTGTAAGTTGCCATACGGGGGGCATCAGTGTTTCACAAACACATCTTGTTTTCTTATGTATTTAAATGTAAAAATTTGATCCCCTATGCCCACCCCCCAATTTTGGGGATCATGATTTGAACAATTTAGAATCTACGCTTCCAAAGAAGCTTTCACATAAGTTTCACCTTTTCTGGTCCAGTGACTCTCTAGAAGATTTTTAAAATATTTTTCCTATATATTAAAATGTTTAACACTGATCCCTATTATGCCACCCCCCCCCCCCCCACCCCAATTTACAATCTACGCTTCTTTTTCTGACCGGTGATTCTTGAGAAGAAGGTTTTTAAAGATTTTTCTTAGACATTTCAACTTTGTTCCCCTATTGTGACCCCACCCTTATCTCCCCTCCCCCGGGGTATATTACATTTTCAAGATTTTTTTTTGTATATTTCAAACTTTGATCACATATTGTGGCCAAAACCTAACGGGGGAGGGGGGGGGGGGTTAATGATTTGAACAATTTAGAATCTACACTTCCACGGGAAGTTTCGCTTTTTCTGGCCCGCAGTAGATCTTGAGGAGAAGATATTTTAATGAACCCACCCTATTTTTGCCTTTCCTTGATTATCTCCCCTTGGAAATGGGCTTGGTTCTTTACTTGAACAATTTAGAATCCCGTTAACCCAAGGATGCTCTGTGTCAATGTTGGTTGAATTGGCCAAAAGGTTCTTGAGAAGATTCAAAAATGTGAAAAGTTTACACACTGAAAGACGCCAGACAACGGCTCACTTCAGCTTTCAGCTTAGGTGGGTAAAAAATTGAACACTGACGAGGAATAAAACCATAGGTTTTTTTTTTATTTTAAAAGTAGAAATATTCCAAATATGAGCCTCAGGAGCCCAGGTATGTTGTGGATTTGTACAGGTTGTGTATTTGATACACCAAGGCCACTCTACGATATAAAATATTTCCTGATGTAATAAGCAAGCTATCAAATGCCGATATTTAATACAACTTTCAAGCTTTTAAATAACCATTACGCGCTCCGCGCCTACATTAGACAGATTCATCCACTTGATTCAGAGGAAACATTATCAAATAATAGGCCTAATCATGTACGTCTTACACTGTCCAAAAGACGCTTAAAATCCAACAAAAGAGCAGTCAAGGTGACAAGGCTTCGTATGTGTTTCACGTTCGAGGGATAAAATTTTTCACACGACTTGGGTATTTTATCTCTCGGTCCCTGTTGCTCTCCTCTCAGTCATCAGACTCTATTCCGTCAACCAGGTATTTCATACTTTGCTTAAGTCTTTTATTATGATATTTGCAGTTAAATATTTTCTTCACAAACAAGAGGAAGATTCGCGCCATTATAAACATCTTGATTTACACCATTATAAACATCTGATTTTATTTTGGGGTCGGGTTTGGTATCTGATAATATTCTGACCTTTGGTCCGATGACAGAGAGGAAAGTTGGTAGAATGAGTACGGCATGAATAAGTCCAAACACAATCACCATGAATAACACCTTGAAAAACGACTGAAAAATAAAACTCTCAGAGAAATTCAACATCACAAGGCCAATAATTGTTGACAGCGCTCCATTTATAACAGGACCGCCTGCCAATTCAAGTGCATCCTGAACACGCCCCTTTCGCTCACGTGATTGTGACGTTAGATATGCGTGACAAAGATGCGCGCTGAAATCCACAGAGAATCCCACAGATATGATGAGTTCGATCATTGTGACAGAGCTGATGTTAAGACCCCAGAACGGGAGAAATCCGAACACTCCCAGAAGAATTGACACAAGGGAGATGGACACAAAAGTTATAATAAGAGGGTGCGGCATGAAAAAACACGCAACTAAAAACATGGCGGCTACTGCAACACCAACTGTCTGTAGCGTGCTTCTTACCACGATGGCATACTGTTCAAAGAAAACAAAGAGTGGTGAGTAGATAAAACACGGTAGTCTGGATGATTGCTCAAGCTCTCTAATTCGGAGGAGAAATTGTCCCTGAACGTCACTCGTCCTTAAATTCTCCGAAAACAAGTAAAACCTTGAGTAGTTTATGTTTGTAAAGCCTGGTGAAAATATCACATCACCCTTAAAAATTCTTGTTTCATTTAAGAAATGTCTTAAAGACGTAAATTTGTCTCCAAAAGTACCATTTCCCACAACTGTAATATATGTCGATAACCAATTTATTTCTAGGTTATCTTTGATAAGAGGTTCCATTTTAAGTTTATTAAGGAATTTAAATATTTGCTGCCGCATTTCTTCGTTTTGATAATCTACCGGATCTTTGAATACAATTTGAAGTGGAATTTCCCATCGGAAATTTTCGAAATCCCAAGTGCTAGCTTTGTAATAGTCGGAACTTTCCAAAGCCAAATCTGAAAATCTGAAGCCCTGCTTTAGTGATGTAACACCCCATACAGAAAGAGCAATATATCCCAGGTACAGAATGAAAACAACCACACGAGAGGCATTGTGGCGAGCCAGGAACTGAACGAAACGTTTTGGATAAATCTCGAGCAAGCTTTCAACATCAGCTCGTGACGTTGGCTTCTCTCCAGAGCAACAAGTGACGTAACACGCCGAGAAGCCCTCGCTTCGGAGCTGTGCTCGGGGTTTTGTAGATCTACACGTCACGGAATGCTTCGCAGCATCCATCTTCTGCTGGTGAATGACAATAGATGGCGCTAAAATGGTGAGCTGGTTGACGTAGCAGAAGAAAACAGCAAGACCTGAAAAAATACAGTTTTGTTTTGAAAGGAGATGAACGATAACACTGAAGACCGAATTAATCTCATCCGTGATGAAAGAAAAGGTTTTATGCGGGGATTTTGGACAAGACAATTATACTATAATATGGATGGCATTTTTGAGTCATATAAAGCTTCAAATTAAGAGAAATTTAATTGTGCTCTTGCCTGTATATATACAGAAGTTTTGGATGGTGACAAACACAGATGTGTAGCCAATGAAGAACGTGAGTAGATCAGTAAGGGAGGTGACTGTGATTGCCAGTCCGCTGGTCCTCAGAGTGCGGTCCATTCTCTCCTCCAGTGACATCTCCTGTCCTATAGTCTGCGCATGCCCAGAGACGATGATAAACATATCATTGATGCCAATGCCTAAAGAATATCATAAATAAACAAAAACATAGCTATATTCACAAATATCGAGTTAACACGTGGGGAAAATGAAAATCATTAAGGTTACTATTTGAAACTGATTCGCATTTGTTCCCAATATATAAATTTATAACAGTTTGACTAATTCATTTCTTGCACAATGATTTTCAGAGAATTATACTAGTATGTCATGACTTGCCTATAATCAAGAAAGGCATGACTCCAACAGAATTCATGAACTTCATCCCACAGGCGCTAGCTATCCCCGCCGCAGGGACCATAGAGAGAATCGCACAGAAGACGCCAACGCGTCCCAAATTCTGCCGATCGTAAACACAATCAACGCGTCTTCCGGCAGTTGTTATGGATGCATAGACCACCATGAGACCCACTGTGATCATGAACAGATGAGCCTCAGCCATGGAGCTTTTGGTTACCTCGTCGTCCAAAGCACTGTGATAGGTATAGGCCAGTTCTGTATAATTTGTCCGCGTACTCTGTATGAAAGTCACAAATTCTTTGACCCATCTCTCTGATAGATGACCCTGCTCTAATGGATGCTTCTGGAGGTAATATCGTAGTTTTAACATGCCTGCTGAAACTAGGCGATCACCATCAGTTACCACCTTTCCTAACATGGCGGACAACAGAACTGTTTCCTTGTACACAGGATAGGTCACATTTTTATTTTGCAAATTTCTGATAAATTCTGCAGAGAGAAGTTCCTCTCCGAAAATAACACATTTATTATTGCTTTTTGCGCAGAGAGATTCATATGACGAATTCTTGTTTGACTGGTCTACAATTAATACGTTCTTTGTAATAAGGTTGTGAATTTTCTGCACCTCGCGATGTGCGTTAGCATCGAATACATTCCCGCCATTCTTTGAACGAATGATAACTTCGGCAAAATAACCGACGTCTGCCAATGAATGGATTTGATAGTTTTCATGATTGGATGATTCAAACACGCTCCTCACAATATCGCGATCTTTAGAGGCCTGATTATTTTCTGGTAGGTATTGCGTCTCCAGGTCGTTTTCAAACTCCAGTCGAAGAAGGCCGATCCCGAGTAAAAGGTTTAAAATGATGGAGCAGATGATGAAAATCCATGGATGCCGCGCAATCAGTCGACCGTAACGTCCAAATAATCGGGCGATCTTCCGGTCATGTGCAGTGTAGCATCGAGAGAAACACATGGACGACATGGTAAAAATAAGATTCTGTAAGAAAATAAAAAAAGTCCATTTAAAAAATACATGCACAATAACATTGTATATGTATTGACATTAAACCATTTTAATTCTTTTAGAATTCATCACACCTACCCAGTACCTGAAAACCATGGTTTTTTTAACATAAAGATGATAAATAAAGTTTTTTTTTCATTTACGATTATATGCACAAAAGCCATTTGTGTTACATGTAGTTACATCTAATAAGTTGATGCAACGTGATTAAGCCTGCAAGCAGAAATGTATGAACTCGTCAATTATGTCAACATGTACAACATCGAAATCCATGTCTCTATAGGAATGTTCACGTGTGCCTTGTGTCAACCCTGAAAAACTTCTATGTTAGCCATGCCAGTGTTTTGTACAACTGACCCTTTATAAGGGTTTTCTTCGTATTTCCGGAACATAATATCAATAGTAATTATGTATTTATACGATATGCTTAAATATTTTAGTTTAGTTTTCGACATCCCAGGAAGTCAATGTGAACATAACTAATACTTCCTCAGTTATACATACTGTTTTTCAAAGTATTAAGAGCCATTCTCTGTAACGACTTGAACTTTTATAAAGGAAATGTGGCACGCATAGTCTCAGAATTTCTCCAAACTCTCTACGATAAAAGTCTTTTATACCGTAAACTCAAATCAGGCAGAAATTGGTTGCTACGTGTCATGGTTACCATGGCAACATGTCCTAAAGTTTGAAAAATGGCATTTTTCAACATGTTCAGAGCCCCACAGTTAACGTTTGCAGAAAAGCAAACAAGTGGCAATGATTGTTTCTGAAAGTTGAAGGCCTGATGTCTTAAATGCATGATAAACATGTTTGGTAAATCAACTATTACATACCTTACTATGGAAACAAAGTATTCAAAAGTAATAATTTTGCTCATTTAATTTTATAAGATCATACACTTAAGAATAAAAATAAATTATAGGTTGAAATGCAAGCAAATAATAGACAAAAGATCCTTGTAACATATACCAAGGAAGAAATATGGTATTTCTTATAGGTTGGCAATGGTTGCCATGGTTTTAATACCAAGAAGGGATTTTCAATTTACTCTCTTAGTGTTTAAATCTAATCCTATCTTTTTAAAAAGCATATTTCTAAATAACTAATGAACAATTTTTAAAGACGTTCATGTGACCCTAATTTTCACATTTCAAAAAATTCAAATTCAATTCTTTAAATAGAGCGTTGGTATGGAAATAAGCCGAAAAAATATGCATAAAAATCTGAAAAATATTCTGTTTCCTTGGATACGTACCCTTGTATGTAGATTCCCAAAACTTTTATGATTGATAATTATGAACAACTAACCTGACTTTAAATTTTGACTGCCACCCAATCTCTAACTGGATGCAAAAAGCTGGCACATAGGGTTTAATATTGATATAAAATTAACAAAATCGAACATTTCCCTTCTTGGTTACCATAGCAACAGTGTTGTATTTTTCAACAAACGTTATCAATATATTATATGATATTCAACTTTAGTTCTACCAGATAAGTACTATTCAAGGTGAGTCAAATAATATGTTTCTTGAATAAAAGGTAAGAAAATTCCTAAGGCAGCAAAAAAAATATCACTTTAAACAACTGGTACATTGTTTCCATGGTTACACTGCAAAGTAACAATTAATCCCAATTTTTCTTATTTTGTCAGTGTTGCAAGGTCTTAAGGATGTATATGTGCCAGTCATGAATGTTATTGTTTTTCCTGAAGATAGTAGCATTAACCCAATCTTAGCAACATATTTTGCATGGTTACACTGTGTTACCATGGCAACCATGAAAGTAATTTTTAGAATAATATTGCCAATACCTAATTACTTAAGGTCAAATATTTTTATTGTTTTTTCCTTAGGTTATTGATTGAGTTTGGTCATTTAACACCTATCATTAGTGAATATTGAGCATTTTTCTGCATTTTTCAGCATCTAAAATGTATTCCAAATGTACCCATGGTTACCACTTACTTAGAGATAAATTCTAAATAGTTTCTTTATAGCATAAGTGGCAACAAGGTGTCAGGTTTTTGTGAGAATGGTTTGTTTGTTTTTCTTAGTCTTTATTAAGGCTTAATAAAGATTCAAAGTAGCTGAAAATCTCAATTTTTCTAACTTTTCTGGCTGTTACCATGGCAACCAAGACACATAGCAACGAAATTTTATTTGATATATGTTTCTGGTGTTAAGTTGTAATAATGGGCAAAGTTTCATCAAAATCGGTGACCATGCGTGGCAAAGAAGTTTAAGTGGTTACAGAGAATTGCTATTAATTCGTGATTGACACAGACACATACAAACATGTCATACCTATCGATCTACTCTGAATAATTATACTATTAAATTATTTACAGATTAATCAGTTTAGTTATTATTTCATGTTATTAACTTCGTTATATATATTTATATAGATACATGTATTGTTTAGAAGTTGGTTAAAATGCATAGTTCAAACTTCCATCTCCAGGTATATAAAATAATTAAACCTTTATTTTAGATGACGTTATTATAATATCAACGACCTAATCAAGGTCCTTTGCTCTGAGTTTTTATAATTTTGCTCTGCTGTTAAATTAATAGATCTGTGGCTTCTGTTTACATTAATCACTATATAATAATTTTTAATGTCATATAACAATATACTAATATACGGAGAAATACTTATACGTATCGAGTGATTCAAGTTCTTTATTTCTTTGCGTCATACGACACATCAGATTACATATATTAATAACTAAACATATATACAATATTATAAAATATAACAATATGAGAGTGATCATAATCAATAAATAGCAAGTAAACTACATGTAGGACGTGTTTTATAACAGGCAACTGTAATTATAAAACACTTAAAAAATTTACAAATGTTTCATTCTTCTAGTGGAAGCTTGATATAAATATTTTCCAAGGTAACAAAGTTCCTTTATATTTTGTACACTTAGAAGTTGAATTAATTTCCAAACACTGGATTTCTTATAATAATACTTTTTCAAATACTTAGATCTAAGGTCATGATAAAAAGGACATTGTAAAATAAAATGAAATTCGTCTTCGATAACATTCAAAGAGCACATTTTACATAATCTGTTTTTTTCTAATTTCATTAACATATCTACCAGTTTCAACATTTAGATTATATGTGCAGATAGTCTAATTCTAGCAATTTAATTGTATTTTGTACATATAATAAATAGGTTTACGCAAGTAATATTGTATACCAAAATTATCAACCAAATGTTGGTATAGCGGGCTACGGGCATTGTTACAAATATTAGAAATCATAGTATGGTTATTCACCTCAAGGAATCTTTGTTTTACTAACATGTAAGTATTATCATTGAAATCTGCATCAAATATATAGCCAAGTCCCAGTTTATTAAGTTCATTTTGAATATCTCTGATCCAAATATCATTATTCTTTAATCTTTCTTCCAAGCATGATTTTAGTAGAATATTTTGTGTCCCCTTTAGTTTCAAAAAATATTTCATACGTATCACACATCAGTATCGGGGTCCAGCATGTGTTCGGTGTATTTACATTGATGTTAAGTAATATTACCACCATTTAATAATTATATAACTCTGGTTTTAATTAATGTCTTTGCCAGACAACAGAATAAAGTTAAGCTGACCATGCATGGTCTGGTGGTGTTGAATAAAATGACATAATCGCCGTAAACAATGGAAGGGTTTTAAAGATAAAGTAGGTATGTATACACCACATGGGACATGTAATGTACTACTTTCAGCGATCTGATAGATGAATATTTATTCAGTAGGTACATATATAAACACAATATGTAAATGAATGCATAATTATGGAACGCCGCAACTGCCTTATGTGGAGAATTTTCATTATATGCTGATATTTCCACATTATATGCTGATACTTTGTCATTATATGCTGATACTTCAACATTATATGCTGATACTTTGTCATTATATGCTGATACTTTGACATTATATGCTGATACTTTGTCATTATATGCTGATACTTCAACATTATATGCTGATATTTCAACATTATATGCTGATATTTCAACATTATATCCTGATACTTTGTCATTATATGCTGATACTTCAACATTATCTGCTGATATTTCAACATAATATGCTGATACTTTGTCATTATATGCTGATACTTTGATATTATATGCTGATATTTCCACATTATATGCTGATACTTTGTCATTATATGCTGATACTTCAACATTATCTGCTGATATTTCAACATAATATGCTGATAATTTGTCATTATATGCTGATACTTTGACATTATATGCTGATACTTCAACATTATATGCTGTTACTTCAACATTATATGCTGATACTTTGACATTATATGCTGATACTTTGACATTATATGCTGATACTTTGACATTATATGCTGATACTTTAAATGTGATGATCGTTTGTGACACCGGAACTTCCGGTAAGCAAGGCAGGTGTTCTTAAATTCAACAAGTACGTGTACAAAATGTTGCATTTATTGGAAAAACTGGGTTTGCGGCATGTAAATGAACAGTTCGAGCGGGAAAAAATAACACCAGATATTGTGTGTCAGCTATCAATGCAAGATTTTGAAGCCTTGGGAATTTCAGATAGGGCTGAGATGATGAATCTTAGAATTGAGTGTGTGAAGTATGGTGGATCTAGACCGAACCAAATTCAGAGTAAGGTAGGGCCTCCCATGTATGATATTCCAAAATCAACTTTAGAGAATTTAATTGAAAATGATTTTAAGATAGCTGACATTGCAAAACTTTTAAGGGTGTCAGAAAGAACTGTTTATCGTCGAATGACAATATCTGGATTGAGTAAAATGCATTTTTCGGAAATAAATGAAGACGACCTTGAAAGAGAGATCGGAAATTTGATAAAGGATTTTCCTCTGTGTGGCGAAAATATGTTGAGACAAATGCTGCTTGCCAAAGGTATCCGAATTCAGCGATGGAGACTCAGAGACTGTAT